CTAAAGGAAGCTGGAGAAGTTACTTTTAAGGAATAGCCCACACACTTGCTTTCTGGTTTGCAACACTTGCTTGGAAATCAGGGCTAATCAACATTCTAAATAAGCATGTTCAGATTTCAGAACTCCTGATTCTGTTCTTGGCCAGTGCAAATGGAGGACTATTTACTTACAAAGGAATATTGCTTCCCTCCCCAACTCCTCTAAGCAAAGGACCAGATTGAAGGATGATTTAACTCATCAAGTTTGGGACAAGGTTCTAAGTTCAATTGCCAGGTTCTTATACAGTAAGATGAAGGAAATGGGATGTCAAGAGACTTGCTGTCTTTTCATGGGAAAGATATAGTGCAGTCAACCTTCCAGCTGTTTTACATCATACAAGAAATCAGGCTAACCTGTTTGCCCCATGTCTTATGACATATCACTGCCTCACCAAGGGGGCTGACATAATAATGTAACTATAACATCTAACAAAGGAATTTAGTTATCAGGCTACAGAGACAACCCTTAAAGCAAGAGCACAAGCCTATCAGGCTGCTTTACAGGACCACAGCTCTTTTTCTAAGCTTCCAGAATCAATGTTTTAGAACCTTAAGCAAACTAAGATTCTAAAATCATTGTTTCCTCTTCATGGGAGGGAAACTTCTGAATAGTTAACTAAAGGGAATCTTTCCCCATGTGCCTTATTCACTGTTTTGAAGGACTTACTAGGTATATCACTATGCTTCTGAAACAGCAAGAGTGCTAAAGCAACTCGTACTCTTGTATTATTTAACTTCCAAGCTAGAGTCCCATAACACATCTTCAGTGTAAAGCCTAGCTTTACAACTTCAATTAACTTACTCTTGACCAGAGTATTGTAGTCACTGAAGCTGTAAAAAAACTCTCACCCAATTTGGACTAAATCTAAGGTGCAATTAAGATGGCAAATTGCTATCATCCTGCACCTACTGTGGATAGTAATGTACTATTCTCCCAAGTCACTGCCTCTCTAATGTTTATCATGACTAAAGGTAAAGCATACAATTGACTAAAATGGGCGCATGATCAATCTAATTTCTGCGCTCATGCACTGAGATGCAGTAGTCGTTCATCTAGTTGTATCCCTTTGTTAAGAGTGCTGTCCTCACAGCAGAATATGTCTCACTTTGTTTACATCCCGTGTTTAAAATTAGCCAGATAAGGGCCTGGCCCTGATAAAGCACTTTGAGAGGTTTTTTACTTCACGCTGAAGTGAGAAGTGCTTCAATTAATGCAACCAGGTCCATGTTTTCTAACCAGAACAATGTCAATGATTCACTGAAAAGGGGACTTACAGTATGAAATGCTACCACCGGAGGTGTAAATGGAGGCATTAAGTTCTGCTTTGTGAAACATTTCCCCCCAGAACAAAGTACCAAGACTTAATGGAGAAAAACATCATAAGGGCAGCATCCCTTAAATGCCATTTGATGCTCATGCAGACCCATTTAAGAAACCAGATTCCTTCTGTTTTCAAATAAGACAACTAATGTCCTCAGCAGATTGGCAAACATTTAACACCCTTAACAGCCTGCATGCATCAGTCGGTGTCACTGCACGGCGTTGACAATGGAAGAGAACAGTAGCAAAAACAAAAAAGTAAGACAAAAGTGGTCTGGAACAGAAATGAAGGTTGTGAAATGTAATTAATACCAGAAAGATTTTGCTTACCAGGTGGAATTGTGGTTGTTTCCCTCCCATTGATGAGGTAATACAAGTGCTGGCTTCCCTTTTTTCCTAATGATCACTTCTTTCCTAGTACATTGTACAGGAACTGTGGAATGTGGCAAATAAATACAAACACCCCCTGGCCCCAGACATTCATGTGCATGCGGCCAGAGCAGAGAACCCCCCTCCCAACCTTTTGTCCTTAGTTCCAGCAAGTGTCAGTGACACTCACTAAACATTCGGGGTCCAGTGGTAGCATTTCATCTTTTAACGATTTGATTCAACTATGAAATCTGCTTTCCTAAACAATCCTAGGACTAAAAGGTGAAAAGAGGAGGGGGGAGAGAAGAACATACAACAGTTTGCCTGCCTGGTACTAAATATAAGCATTTTAACCAAATTGTCTTGATACAATACAGCAAACATGGAGAAATCACTGAAATCCATAGCTCACATGTGATGTTGGCACCTAAAAAGAAACCCAGTGGATTTATGATTATACTTTGCACTTATATTAAACTGTACCTATACGTTTCCTGTAGATGAAGTGGGAGTGGAATTTCATTAGATCATTTTAGACAAGAGAGGAGGAGGGTTAAGGGTAAGCCAGTCCTGCCCTCCCCAACCATCTCTCCCTCCCCTCCATTCCGTGACTGCTCTGCTTGCTCTGGGCGCCGAATGAAAGCCATTCAGGGGGAGGAGTTTGCTACAAGCTGCTTACATCAGCTCCCTGCCCAGCAAACCTTGGGGGTTCTCTTGTACCAGAGAAAGGAAAAAGGCAGAGGCGCCATTTTAAGCAGACTGCAAAAAAAGCAAGAGGCTTCCGAGTCTGTTGAGAAAACTATACCAATACAACCCCGTCGCATACACATCTCTGTATCTTATTATGTCAGTTCTATAAACTACAACCTATTTAACATACAATTACAAAAAAAAAAGGATCTTCAGAGTGCCAGAGATTCGCAAGAATCTCCCCCTTATTAGTCTTTGCAGAAGCCCCCCGATGGGGGGCAATGGAATAAAAATGGAAACATCCTGTAAAGGAAAAATACAATGCTGCTCGTCAGGGACAAAAGACAAAATATCACCGCCATATTGCAGCAAGGAATGGAGGGGGAATATAAAAACGACGAACATTTTCAAAGCACATTAGACCTCATTTGAGTCCAATAGATCTTTCAATTAATGAGGGATTTAAAATATATTGGACTGGTTTAAAACGATTTTCCCAAGCCACCTTGCAATCTTTATTTCTAGATTGCCATTTAATTTTTTTCCAGTTTTACATACCTACATACACATTATTAAAGTTTGCAAGTAAAAAAAAACCACAAAAACTTTTAACATCGACATCAAATTTAAAAATAGACGAGGCTATGACAGATCATCCTGTATTTTAAGCTGACTCATTGCCGGCTACTATGCAGAGTTATTGCTCTCTTGGTCCCTTCCACTCTTACCCTGCAATCTTTATGTACAGATTGCTTATTTAGCTCAACTTCCACGTCTCCCACACAAAGAAGTAGTACTTTATGGCTCAGTTACCACCATCTATTATGTGGGAGCTCATTAACCCTTGACAGTCCTGGAGACGATGGATTATGTAAAACCACCATCGAACTCCTTATAAATATGCATTTTTGGTAGCAAAATGCCCAAATCGTAAGGGTTAACACCTGAAACACTCCCCACTTCCCCTCCATTTTTTTTGGTCTTTTCTTCGTGCCATTAGCTCACTTCGACATGGATGAATTTTTTTTGGTCAGTTGGTTCAAAATGCGACACTTACTATCCAATTATTTTTCTCGTCGACAGCGCCTCAAGGTTTAGCTTTTTTGGATTAAGCTTTGTTTTTAAAGAAAAAAATGAATTTGGTTTTGCTCATTTTTAAAAAATAGCAACTTTTTTGATGCTCAATAAAGAAGCAAAAAGCTGCTCGCTAAAAAAGCTCAGGGAGGATTGTTGCTAAATATTAGTTTTGTTTTTTTATGTTTTTAGTGGCAGTTGTTCTCCTTCAGGTCATAAAGAACTTTAACAGCTTCCCAAGACAGGCGATCGGAAATGTAGCTGGCTTTTTTTGTGTCTTCTCAGAGGCTCAACTGTGGGGAATTTTTTCCCTTTGTTTCCCGAAGTCAATTCAGCAGTTTCTCACGACCAAAGCCAACCCTAGAACAGGAAGAGATAAAAAAAAAACAAGATTAAGATTTTTTTGAAGCCCCAAAGGATCACATTAGAAAAATATTTTTATTTAATAATAGTATATAACCCCATTATACAAAATTAACCTAAACCAGAACTTTTAATGGGAGAAATAAAACCCGAAATTAAAATGAAAAGTCACAAACCCCTCAACTTAGTTTAGCTGGTCGCTAGGGAGTGGCTCGGGCTTTATTGAAAATTGAGCTGAGACTCCTGGAAAGGGCAATTTACCTTCAACATAGCCAAACAGACAATTAGGAGTTGTAAATATTAAGTACGACTTTAATCCGGGGAAAAGGGAGCAAAAGCAGTAACAACGTAACCCTTTTTTGTACCCCTCCCAAGCCGTTCCCCACGATAACGTGTCCAGAGACACCGTACTCACCTTTAAACAGACCCCAGAATGGCCGAACTGGGCGCGCGCAGACTATTTTATATGTGGCCACTCCCTTGCCAAGATCCCTCCTCCCGTCTCCGCGCGCTGCGGCTAAAGAACAAAGCATGGACCGAGTCACCCCGCCCAACTTTAAGATCTGATCGATTAAATACAACCTTAAATTTAAATCAAGACGCAGTGGCTGCATTCTGTTTTAAACCTAAATCACAAACTTGAAAAATAAATAAATTTTAAACCTTCTAAAGATTGTGACGCAGTTAGGAGATCATGAATACGCATGCGCTAGAAGTTGCCATATCGTCAACACCCGCGACATGCACGCGCAGCATCTGCCCTAGTTTTCGAAGGGGCCTAGGAGGTATAAGCCGATGCTCCAAACAGCGCATGCGCTTACTGTAGAAGGTTATGCCACGAGAGACTCACAAAAGCCATCGCTTTGCGCATGCGCAGCAATGCCCTAGCTTGCGGCTTGTGGCGCAGTTTTTATTTTGTCAAGCTTTCTACGCATGTGCAATTTCCCGTGTTTTTTAAAAAAACGCGAATGCGCTTGCGTGTTTTTTAAAAAAATATTCTTGTCATAATAATAATTTTTGTGAGTAATCGAAGTTGAAGCCTGAATAAAATCAAATTTTGGAATCGTTAATATACTTTTTTGTTCAAAAGGCATGGGGAGTTACATAAACCTTTTTCCTGAGATGACTTTCACTGGTGGGAGGTATGGCGCGTGCGTAAAATAAGCCGTACCTCAAGATGGCGGCTGCCAGGGGACCCATGTTGCTGAGGAATATAATGGGTCATATGTTGGTCCGAGCGGTAGTTAGGAGGTCGTTCTGGGTGCAGGTGAGAAGCAGGAGCTTTTGTATTAAGGAATACGGTGCAATGATTTTATTATGTGGTGGAAAGGAGTTGCATATAGTTGTTATCGTGTCTGCTTTTAATTTGTTATGAAAACTTGCTGTTAATTTGGCTGGGAATTTACATTCATCATGTATTGGTATATCGGAATTATGTAACTCCTTCCGTCCCCCCCCCCGCACAATTTGCTTTTTTTAAAGGCGTTCTGTATCTTTAAGTATAGACTTCTTTAGCTTCGTCTTCAAGAAAAGTGCGTGTGGGAGATGTGATAACCTGAGCTGTCCAAAGTATAGGAGCCCTATCAAAAAAGTTGGCAGCCCTTGTGATGCTGAAGACTGTCACTGTTATGTGTCCCTCGCTTATTTCTAAAATGCATCCATCTTTTAACTGCCACCCTTTGTTGCTCTTAAAGGTGCCACTGTACTCAAACTTTCTTCTGTCCTTTTATTAGGTGAGTTGTAAAGGAAATGGAAACTTGGTGGCTAGATAGCACAGATTGCAATCCTGTACGCTGGCCAGTTCTAAGAAAGTAAGAAGATCCCTGCTGGATCAGACCACGAGTGGTCCACCTAGTCCCACATCTTGTCTCACACAGTGGCCAACCAGTACTTCTGGAGGTCCAATAACAGGGTATAGAAGTAGAGGCCTACCCCTGATGTTGCTTTCTGGCTCTGGGATTCAGAGGTATCATGCCTTTGAATGTGGAGGTTCCATTCAGTCATCATGGCTGGTAGCCACTGATAGATCTATTCTTCAGGAATTTGTCTGATCCCATTTTAAAGCTGTCTACGTTCTCATCACTACATACTCTGGCAGTGAATTCTGGATTTTAGTTATTTCTTGTGTAAAAAGTATTTCCTTTTGTCCATCCTGAATCTACTGCCCATCAATTTCAATAGGTGCCTTCAAGTTCTAGTGTTTTGGGAGAGTGAGGAAAAGTTTGTTTTGTGAACTCTCCATCCTTTGCATAGCATGATAAACCTCTGTCATGTCTCCCCACATTGGGAAGGTGCTACAACCCCCCTGAACGAATTGGTTGGCCTCTTCTGTACTTTTTCTAGCTCTGTGATGTCCCTTTTGAGGTATGGTGACCAGTATTCCAAATGAGGCTGCACCAAGGTCGTTATTATAACATTGACTGTTTTTTTTTCCCAAGCCCTTTCCTAATAATCAACAATGGCCCCGGTCACACGGGCCGGATATTGCTGGGGGGGGGGAGGCGTGGCTGTTTGCCCCGGAGCGAACTACCGTGCGGCCGCCAGATCAAACGTCCAGCCGACGTCCCGTGGTTCAGGGGAAGGTGCCAATCATACGTCAATCCTGCGGCGCGGCGGGGGTTGTGGTTTTTTTAACCAAAGTGTGCACATGCACCGTTGGGTGCTTGTGCGCATCCCGTGGAGACTTGGGGGGAAAAAACCTTTTCGCGACGGGACATGGGCGGGCGCCGGATGCCACGAGCTACCACCGGAAACGTGATCAGACGCCCGCCCTTGCCCCGCGGTTTCTGGAAACTAGTACCTCGGAGGTACTAGTTTTTTATGGCGCATCTTCGGCGGGAAGCCTTGGGTTCGCCACGGGAGCTCTACACTTCCCAGATGTTGCGGTTTGATCGCGCCCGGAAAATCCGCCTATCTTCCGTCTCTGTAGCGTGGCTAATGCTCCGTGTGACCGCAGCCAATATAGAGTTTACCTTTTTCACTGTTTCAGCACACTGGGTTGACTAGCTACTGCAACTCCAAGATCTTTTCCCCTCTCAGTCTCTGCAAGGTGATACTCTTATTAGCATATGCTTACACTCACCAACATTGAACTTCATTTGGCACATTGTTGCCCACTCAACAGGTTCGTGGAGATAAGTTTGGAGCTCTTCACAGCCATCCTGGGTTTTCAACTGAATACATTTCTGTCATCTGCCAACCTGATCACTACACTAATCACCCCTAGTTCAAGATCATATATGAACCAATTAAATAGTATTGGCCCCAATACCGATCCTTGTGGAACCCCGCTGCTTTGTCCCCTTCATTGTGAGAAGAAGACCTGTCCATTTATACCAGCTTTTTGCTTCCTGTCATTTAACCAGTTTTTAATCCATTAGAGAACCCATCACTGCTATATATAAAAAATAAAATATATAAAATAAAATAAATGCATGCTTATTTTAATGCATGCTTTTGTCATTACATGCGCATCGACTGCGTTTGGAACAGTTCTAGTGGGGTGCCATGTGTTATAATTCTGTTTAGGTGCTGAGCCTTCAAATACAATCCTGTGTGTAGAACTCTTCTGGTCTAAGCCCGTTCAAATCACTGGGCATAGTCTGGAGTCACTGTATAGAGTTGTATTGTTGATAAAGGCTACCATTGGCTATGGACTGAGCCCAGATATCCAGTGTTCACAGGAAAACGGGGTGACTCTTACCCAAACCCAGGAAGCTGCAGTTCTGTTGGATGTAACTGATAGTAGAATGATCCAGTACCTACAGTTGCCAACTCTGAGTTCAGAAATTGCTGGAGATTTAGGAGTTGAGCCTGGGAAGGGCTCAGTTTGGGGGAAAGGACTTGAGTGAGATATATTGCCATATAAACTTAGTCCAGTGGCACCTTTAAGACCAACAAAGGTTTATTCAAGGTATGAGCTTTCATGCACAAGGTACATGAAAGCTCATACCTTGAATAAACCTTTGTTGGTCTTAAAGGTGCCACTGGACTCTAAATTTGTTCTACTGCTCCAGAGCAACATGGCTGACCGTCTGGCTCTATATTGCCATCTAGTCTATCCTCCAAGGCAGCCATTTTCTCTAGGGGAATTGACCTCTGTGGGCTGGAGATCAGTTGTAATTAAGGGAGCTCTCCAAGCCCCCACCTGGAGGGAGGCAAATCTTAGCAGCAGAAGAAATGTGTGACCCACTGATCCAGGTCTGAGTTTCAACTCTGCCATGGAACTTTGCTGGGTGAAGTTGAGCCAATCACACTCCCTCAGGCTAATGTACCTCACGGAGTTGTTGTTGTGAGGTTAAAATGGAGGACAGGGAAACAAACAGTGAAGAACCCCTTTGGATCCACATTTAGGAGAAATGCAGCACAGGCAGGGAGAGTGGAACACATTTTTTTTACAGAACAACGGCGTGTGTGTCTGTCTTCAATGGGCTTTTGGAGCCAGCATGGTGTAGTGGTCAGAATGGTGGGCAGGGATCAAGGAGATCCAGGTTGGGATCCCACCTCTCCTGTGGAAGCTTGGTCGGTGACCATGTGCCAGTCATTCACTCTCAGCCTAACCTACCTTGCAGGGCTGTTGTGAGATAAAATGGGAGGACAGGAGAATTATGTAAGACACTTTAGGTCCCTATTGGAAAGTAAAGAAGGTTATGTGTGATCCACAGTGGCAATCTTCTGGTGTCACTAATATGTATCTGTGTTAGTTTCTGATGACTGTGTAGCAACATTTACATTACTTAGGCTGGGCATGGAGCTCTCTTCTCCCTCCTCCACTGGAAATTACTTCCTCTTCATCATTTTTGGAGAATGTTTGCACCACTGAGTCATTAGGATGTTATGGTGTAAGCTGAATGTGTTGACTTGGTGATGAGAGGAAAAACAGTCTGCATATTGCTCAGAGATGCTCAGTGGTCCCTGCTTCCCAGCAGTCATAGTATCTAAAGTAGAGAGGCTGTGCTATTGCTGAGCCTTTGGCTGGGGTCTCCCCCCACAAAAAAGTCCTGGAGCCATTCATATAGAAAGTTCTGTTCATCTAGAACTGATGGGCTGGTACTTCATCCTCTTGCAAGATGGAGACATTGCAGATATGTTACGTTCCAGAAATGTAACAGAAACTCTGGATAATCTGTGGGATTGTCTACGTGGGAATCCTGTTTTGCTTTACAAGAAATCCTTTTACGGCTCAATTCTGCACGGAGCTAGGTAGCCTAAATTCATTGCATTTGGTCAGCTTGGATGTGGCCAGTTCTGCACAGCTGTGTGAAAACCTTCCTACTGCAAAGGTGAAGGGATGGCTGCCAGGGCATAGGTCTCGTGCAAGAATGAGGCGGCTTTTTTGCTAGTTACTCTCAAGAGAATAGGCACAAGCTTTCCCCTTTGCTCTCGCAGTTAAATCTAAGAAGCAGAGTTTCAAAGTCAGTTTCAGAACCTGGATGAAACTTGTTAAAAGCTAATGCTGGTTAGTACCAGTTTGATGTAGTGATTAAGTGTGCGGACTCTAGTCTCGGAGAACCGGGCTTGATTCCCCAGTCCTCCACTTCCAGCTGTTGGATGACCTTGGGCGAGCCATAGTTCTGTCAGAGCTGTTCTCTCAAGAGCAGTCCTCGAAGGAGCTCTCTCAGCCCCACCCACCTCACAGGGTATCTGTTGTGGGGAGGGGAAGGGAAAGGAGTTTGTAAGCTGCTCTGAGACTCCGAGTGAAGGGTGGGATATAAATCCAATCTCTTCTTCTTCTTCTGCCTATGCAGATGAATTGGGATACACCCTTGCTTTGTGCTGAGACGTGGAGGGAGGTTGTCTTGTCAGCCCTTTCCTGCTCTCTTAACCATGGTTGACCATATTACCTCTGCAGTGTACCATGACGTACTGACATGGCTGCGGCCTGTGAATCTTTTAAATTCCAACCTAGCCACGGACTTTGTCCCCATAGCGGGTCACGTCGCCCCGCAGGTATCCAGCCATGCAGCTCTGCCAACAGAATGGCATTTCTGTGTTCAGAAGGGCGGTGGTTTCTGCTAATCCCCCCCTCGCGTTGTAAACGCCGTTGTGCTCCCTATGCTGTTCCTGAGGTTGTGCTCACCCTCCAGTAATAAAGGGGGGGGGGGAGGCTGCAGCAGGAGGGGAAGGTGGGAGAGGCCAGCTCTGCAAAGTCTGTGGGATGATCGCCTCCATGCCATAATCTGTGTGTCTATATTTATTTGCTTTGGTATTTGTCCTTTATGTGAGGAGCTCAGTTCAATGCATGTGGTTGTCCTCTCCTCTGTCTTACTGAGAGAGTGACTGGTCCAAGGTGAGCTTCCATGGCGGAGTGGGGGGTTCAAACTGTGGTCTTGCCGGTTCTAAACTCTCACCGAGGTGGCTCTCAGAAATCCGGTTTTTGTCTTTGAAAATGAGGTTGGCTACTATTACAAATTCTGAATGGGAGAAGCATTTAAATTCGCTGTAGGCTGCAGAAAGGGCAACAGAAGTAATACGGAACCCTGAATCATTGACTGCTTTGGTCGGGGAATCCTAAGTTTTTGAGCTGATGGTTGTTCTTTTATTTCTTACAAGGAGCAGTTGACAGTCAGGTTGGTGGCTGTGTAACTCCTGCCCTGGCTCTGCTTTCTTCCTTTAGAACACACCCAGCACTTTCCTCCTGAGGCCTAAGCAGTTGCCTTTCCGGATTTGCAGCACGGAGGCTGGCCAGGCTGGATCTGCAGAACCGGCTGCGTGTGAGACAGAATCACGGTTTAAAGAGAAGCCATGGGAGTACTTGACGTCGGAAGGTATTGGGGTGGGGGTATAAAGCCAACAATGTGGCGTGTGAGGTGTACATTGGCATACTGCTTTAGAAGACGCTAACTTCTGATGTTTCAATCCCTGTCTTCCATTTTATATTCACAAAAACCCTGTGAGGTAGCTCATGCCGTGGGAGAATGACTGACCTGAGATCACGTAGTTTTATTGTGAGTGGGGATTTTAACCACGATGTTCCCAGGAGCTTAGTCCAGCAGTCTCATGACCACACTGGCTCCTAATTGAGCTAGAATTTTTTATTTCTCCCTAAAAAGCCATAACCTTGTTAGATGCTGTTGAAGGCAGCATCTCCCTCTTCTCTTTCCTTCCCCCGATTCCAGCATTAAACAGGAAAGGAGGATATGGTCCAGCCTCAGCTCATTTGAGCTTTCCATTTATTTTTCGAGTTTAAGATACTTCTGTAGAGATTAGAGAAGCAAAAGACTACGATAGAGACAAGTCTCTGTCGTTAGGCTAGCTTGCAACAGGGTGTCCCCAGACATATTCTGTGGATGCTTTTGGAACTTTGAGAAGGAGTAGCAGGCCCCTTCCCAAAACGGCTGCCGTAGGAGGCAGGGGCAATCACAAAATGGCTGCCGGGGGCAGTCATGGAATGTTGGGAGGTTCCAAACCAAACATCAGGCCTGTAGCCACCACCCACGAGCCCTGCCCCACCATTTGATGATGCCAGACACCCCCGCCCCCAGTGTGTGTAATCCCACAGCAGCCGCCAGACTGGGGAGAGACAGGGAAGCCGGCTTGCCCCCTTCTGGTCAGTTTCACTCCTCTGGGATCAGCTGTTAGTTTAACAGTTGATTAGAGGGGAGTGAAACTGACCCAGAGTGGCAAGGCAGCTTTCCTTTCCTTCTCCAGCCTCCCTGCGGTTGGGGGGTGGTGCTGGGGAAGGAGAAAGAAATAGAGAAGGCATGGTGATGGTGGTGGGGAAGCCGATCTCTCTCTCCCCCATAATTTTCCATGGAAGGGGGGGGGAGTTTGGTGATGGTGGGGGAAGCCAATCTCTCTGTCTCTCCCATAACTTTCCATGGCGGGATGAGCAGTGGGGGGCTTGGTGATGGTGGGAGGAAGCCAATCTCTCTCTCCTGGGGTTGCCAGTGTCCAGGTGGTGGCTGGAGATCCCCTGGCATTGCACCTGATCTCTGGGTGGACTCTACGGCGTTATATCCTGTTGAAGTCCCTCCCTGAACCCCATCCACCTCAGGCTCCACTCCCAAAATCTCCAGTTAGTTATTATTTTTTAAGTCTAAGCATAATGTGTGCCCCACAAAACGAAAAATCCTGGTTACGGCCTTGCCAAGCGTTGTCCTCTGATGGGGGCAGCTATTCTGTAATGAGGCCTCTGTGCAGACAAAAGGTGCCGTCTGCTACTTCAGTGAGATGGAGGAAAAGCCAGGACTGGCTCTTTGATTTGAGGAAGAAGCAAGTAGACACCAGGAAGCCCGTCAGTGGGCACCATGGCACCCAGGCGCTCCGTGTTGGTTCACAGTGTACATTTCAGGCAGGAGGGGAGACAAGGAGAGGCAAGGGTAACATAGCATCATAATCAGCAAATTATATGTGATGCTGGTGGGCTGGAAGGAACTTAAATGATGTGACGTTGCACCCGTCCAGCATCTTGTTTAAACTCTGGCACTCTCACCGGCACAGTGTCTTCTGGAGCGACAGAACTCTGCCATGCTAATGTTGCCTGTGCAGCATCTGAGAGCCCAGTTTACACGACTTAGCGGCTGTGTACAGTGTAGCTCGTCTAACTTTTCACCCACCCACTTTACCTTTCGATCGGTCTCAACGGGTCAAAACCAGAAGCTTTACAAGATGGGTAGCTGTGTTAGTCTGCCCGTAGCAGTAGAAAAGAGCAAGAGTACGGTGGCACCTTAAAGACTAACAAAATGTGTGGCAGGGTAGGCGCTTCCGTGAGTCACTGCTCACTTCTTCGGATACCAGGTATCTCAAGACGTGAGCAGTGACGCACAGCAGCTCCTACTCCATCACAAATGTTGTTAGTCTTTAAGAAGCAAAGAAAGCCGGGGGCAGGGCTCTTTAACAGAGAGGGTGGTGTTTAGGGCAACTGCAGATGTTTGAGATGGTGGAGCAAAGGGCAGCAGGGTAGGGTGCGGCAACACCACGGTGCAATTTACAGATAAGGCACTCATTCAGACTCGGAAATGCTTCTAGGCTTGAGGAGGGATATGCATGTTTAATTTAAAATGAATGCCAAAAGTAATTCTGCACAAATTTACTCATGTGATCCTGAGCATGCTCACTTGGAAGGAGAATGTTCTGAGAGATGCGCTTCTTCTTCTTCTTCTTTTTTTTTAAACCCCCGGAGGGCATTATTTATTTATTTTTTTAGAGGTGTGGGTTTGGACACCTGCTGTATCATGCCACCTTATTAGACGAGTTTGAGCTGATCGCTGTCTGTAATCCTCACCCACAGGAGTGTTGTGAAGACAAAAACAAAAGGGAGGGGAGAATGATATTGTGAGCTGCATTGGGTCCCCAATTGGGGAGAAAGGTGGTGCATAACTGTCTTAAGTAAATAAAACGCGACTGTGAATGACCCTCTGTTTTCTTTCCTTTAGAATACATAGAAAGGTATGGCGACAATCCTGTCTGGTTTGGCTACAGGCGCAATCACAAAGGCCAGGTTGCTCCCCAGAAGACCCGGAAGACTTGCATTGTGAGTGAATTTAATTTCCTGTGCGTGGTGTGAGCCAGGAGAACCGAACAGGAGAGCATATGCTAACACTCCACCGCTGTGCAACCAGAATTTCATAATTCCTGGGGAACATTTAAATTCTGTTAACAAAAAGGAAGTAGAATTAATTGTATTTAATTTACAGGCCTCTGAATATTATAGCAGCTGGGCTGGATCAGACTAGTAGGCCAGCCGGATAATATCCTTTTTTCAACAATAGCCAGCCAGGTGTCCCTGGAAAGCATCCATACAGGGCACTGAGGCCAAAACCTACCCCTGTTATCCCGCCCCCTCCAGCACAGGTGTTCAGAAGTCAAAGTAGACAATGTTGACTTTGATAGACCAAGGATCTGATAAGGCAGCTTCATGTGTTTAACAGGGAAAGTAAGGTATAATTGCAATGGGAATGCAAAATATCTGCCCTCTGCACTTGGCTGCAGCCCTTCTGTGGCTGAGACCTTGGAGAGCTGCTGCTAACTGCAGTAGTCAGTGCTGGCCTAGATAAACCAATGGTCTGAAAATGTATTTTCCTGTAAGTTGAAAGAAAATGGCAAGCTGGCCAATTTCTTACCTGGTGTAATGTTGACATCCTTTGAAGTTTGACCAATAGTGTATATATGACTAAATTGGTTAAAAAGTCTGTTATCAAAAGATAATTTTTGTTGAAGGCTTTTATGGTTATTTTCCCACCCCTTAAATACTGTGATATTGATGGTTTTAGCTTGAGCGTACCCGTCTTCTGCAAGTGTTCTGTTTCTTCAAACAGAAACTGAAGGTATCTAAAATCGCCATTTTCCCCACTGATCTCAGCATGTGTGGAACTGCTCAAAGTGAAACGGCCCTTCAGGGCAAACAGCTAACAGGAGAGATAGTTATTTAGAAACAAGGAAAATAAGCTTTTGATAATTAAAGGTTAGGTCCTGGGATCTGACAGGCTGATTTTAGATCGTGCAAGCATATCCCCCTTTTTCCCCACAGCGGGAAGAAACTCACCTTGTTGTATGTAGCCTCCATGCTTCCCTCACATACACAGGGCGTGGTTTCCTGTGTCCTAGTTTTATAAGCCTTCAAATTGCATTCTAGTGTTCCTTGATATCTCCGTGCAGGTGCCTGGGAAAGATAGTTTTTCCTCCCCGCAAGGCAGGATTCTGAACTGGGATTTCAGCTGTGGTTTGGAGTCCCAGCTTGTGGTGAGGAAACAAAGCTGTATTCAGATGTCACAGCAGAATTTTATTTTCCGCCAGCTTTCCAAGTTTTGAGAACCTTCAGTCATAGTCCATGTACAAGGGCAAGAACAGTGTAAATAATGCCTTTTCACTTACAGACTTCATTATGTCTTAGTGCAGCTCTGGTATGACGTCATGCTAGTCTTTGGGCCAGTATTGTGATGGAAGCGAGACTTTTTGTTGTTTGTAGCATTGTGTTTTGTTTTGTTTTTAAAAAACCTGGTCTGACACTTCTTCTTTGCAAATAACACAAGTGTTTGTCTGCAAATGAAAGTGATTCATTTCCAGTGAGTGTCAAGGTATCTGCCCTTCTTTTGGGTTACTTACCAGCAACTGGCGAGTGAGCTTTTGACCGTGTTTCTTCCCGACAGAGAGGAAAGACCGTGTGTGGGAATCCCTGCCCCATCTGCAGAGACCAAAACCTCTTCCTGGATTACCGGGTAAGTGGAACAAGGTGAGATGGTCTGAAATAGCTTTGTAGTGTCTGATTCCTTTTCTGACTTGTCACATGCAAAATCTGGCACTTCCTGATCTGTTTGTAAGATCCTCTTAACAGCCCTTGCAAGTTGTGATCTTCTTATTGGGCCTGTTTTTTGCTAGCTTTCTAAATCTTCTTTTGACCTTTGCTTTCTCTTAACCTGACGTGCCTTGTTGTCCTGTTTCCTTGGTATTTTAAGCATTATGGATGGTTTTTAAAAAAACAACTGGTAAAACCATTCATTCTGTGTTTCTTTACCCTGTTACTGTATAAAAATAGGGCTTGTTGGTGTTTGGATACCACTTCCTCAGGGGGTACACTTGGGAAAGTTTTGCGAGTCACCCAAGGCTGCTTAAGGATCCTGTGGCCATAGGGTTGCTATCCCCCAAATGGGGGCAGGTTTCCCCTGCTTTCAGGGCCCCCAATCTGCTTCTGCCCAGCTGGCTGGCAGGGGGACCCACCCCCAAGCAGCCCCATCCATGCCTGATGTGCCCGGTGCAGTGACATCACCCAGAGGTGACATCGCACAGGGCACATCGCATAGAGGACACTCTAGCATTTTGGGGGAAACTCTATGGTAACGCGGTAAGGACCTGGCAACTCTATGTGGCCAAGTAGGAAGTGTGCTCTAGGACAGTTTCTGAAATATGGGGTGAGGATTAGCCTAGATGGGGTATCTTTCATGGTTTTGATCTTAATAGCTGTACAAGTAATATGACAGCAGGGCACTCTTGGAACTTTACCTTGGCTCTCCCAGGCTTATGAGGTAGGCAGAATGTAGGTAGCTACTCATAGATTCTGAAACTTCCCAGCATTGGCCCCACATCTCTGCTCAGGGATTCTGTCTCGGCCTATTTCCAATCTCCAAAGCACCATTTTTATTCTGTACAGAACCCCCGCCCCCAATTCTGTGCTAGGAAAACTTTCCCATTCTACTGTCTGGATTACTTTTATGTTTATTTATTTAAAAGTTTTTTGATCCTGTCCTTCTACCCAAAGCAATATTTAAGGTGATTTTTAAAAAATCGATATTTTCATAAATTTCAGTAAAGCAACTCAACTAGCTAAAACAATTAAATAGCAAAAAGAAAGAAAGAAAGGAAAGGGGGAAAGATCTGAATTGTTAACTATGGAAACATGTAATGTGAACAGCATGAAGGAACTTTTTACCATATGTGGTGGACTTGTAAGAAAGCAATTTTGGATACAAATACACTTACTAATTCAGAAGATCTTAAAGATTAATAAGCAATTGAAACCAGAGTCTTTTCTTTTGGGATTAACGGACACTCATCTGGAAAGAAGTCATGGAACTTTGTTTTTATATATGACAACAGCAGTGAGATTACTATATGTGCAAAAGTGGAAGAGTCCAATATTGCCTACAATAGAGGAATGGTTGGTGAAGGTGTTGGTGAAGGTGTTGGAACTTGCTGCAATGGCCAGACTTGCTTCACTGATTAGAGAAAAGACAATAAGTTCGTTTATTGCTGATTGGAAACCCCTTTTAGACTTTTTGGATGAAATAGATAATAATGACAATGATTTGTGGATTTAAAGAATAAGGAATCTAGATAATAGAAAAAAGAGAGGTTTTATTTGTAAACATAGAGTAAGAGAAAATGTTGTAATCACACACATATTTGTCTCAGAGAAAATTGGAAACTTCCTTTCCTTTTAATTTATATGGCCTTTCTCTTTATTTCTCTGCTTTGTTTTTTCTTCTTTTCTGCTCTGTTATCTGTAATTTTTTCTCCCTAAGAAAAATTTTAATTAAAAAAAATAAAATATGAATCATATGAATGAACAGGGTGGGGGGAAATGCTCTCTCTAAGCTGTGGAGTCTTGTGAGCAAAAATTCTACTTTATGAGCTACTGGCATTAAAGCTGTGAGCGAGTGATTTGGCTGCTGCATAAGTTAGTTTGCTCTGGAGCCATCCTTCCTGAGCTAAGACACAAATGTGTGAGCCGGAGGCTAAAAAACTGTGAGCTAGCTCACACTAACTCAACTTAGAAGGAACACTGGTGGGGGGTACGAGGGGGAGGAGGAGGAGGCAGGAAGGCCTTTTTTCACTTGGTGCCTGGAGCACATGGCCCCGCAGTTGCTGGATGTGTAGATCTGCTTCTGCATGCAAGGTCTCTCCTTGTAAGCATTATTATTAATGCAATATTGAACTGTGTATTTTACTAGAATGGTCTACTGACTTGATCATGATTGTCAGCATAGCTTTCTCATCTAGAAAAACCCCTCTCAAATCTGCCCAGCGATTCTTCAACTTAAATTTCTTGTTTTCATCCACCAGAATGTGAAGCTCCTAGAACAGTTCATTTGCCCCCACTCTGGAATCACCTATCACCCAACCCAAACAGGTAAGTCCATGGTCTTTTCTGCACCTCTTTCGTACTTGCTGAACCCCACTGTTTGGGCTCTCTGGCTTATGAAGCAACTATATGCTTGGATTCCCCCCACCCCCCCCGCCGCCCTTCATGTTAATGGCCGGAGATCTAACAGTTCAGTTTTATAATGCTTCTGAGTGTCCTCTTCCCCATTAATGGATGCAAAAATCTTCTGTTAGAACTTGTTCAGATTTCAAGGTGTGCTTTTCATTCTAAAGTCCGGAGGAATTCTTATCTCCATGGATGGACAGCCATCTTGTGGAAATGAGCAAGGTAAAAAACTGGCTTCCCAAACAGCAACTCTGTGCAGACTTCATGGTCCGTCCTGCACATGTTGCTGGACTTCGGAGCGCGTTTACATAGGCTTGCAGACATGGGTCCTCCTTACAAGTCATGTGGAAAGGTAGACCTGAAGAGACCGTTATCTGTTTGACTGCTGAGCTCCAGGAGTGTGGTGACGAGGCAGTGGCAGAGCAGGGAAGACAAGGTTCAGGGTAATTCAGGAACGGCTTTAAAGAGATGCTTCAGGAGAAAATCAAGAAAAGCTGTTCCAGGCATCAGGAGTGGCATGGAGATTGACAGGACTGACTGCCAATGGATAAGTTTTTGGGGAGTGGAACCAGGGTTCAAGGACAAGGAGATCCCGCTTGTCACTGCACCTCAGTGAAAGCATTGTTGAACTGGAAAGGCAGCCAGTATTCCCAAGGAATTAGAGTACCGTCCCTATGAGGAAAGGTGAAAGAACCTATGGCTCAGGGGAAAGGGGGCGATAAAGCAGGGGCATAATGTTAGATTATAAAATTATGTATAGTGTGAAAAATTTGAGCAGATTTCTCTCCCAGTCTCTAGACACCTTGTTGGCCAAATGAACTTTGTTGGCTGATTGAAGATCATCCACAAAACATAATTATAGAAGCAGAAAAGAGTAAGAGTCCAGTAGCACCTTAAAGACTAACAAAATTTGTGGTAGGGTATGAGCTTTTGTGAGTCACAGTGACTCATGCCCTGCCACAAATTCTGTTAGTCTTTAAGGTGCTGCTGTGGGCTCTTACTCTTTTCTGCTGCTATAGACAGACTAACGTGGCTACCTATCTCTCCATAGTTATAGAGTTCGCTGCCCCAAGTTGTGGTAATGGCTACTGACTTAGATAGCTTTCAAGATGGAATTAAACAAACATGTGGAGTCTATCATTAGCCACTGTAGGGGTCTGTCATTAGCTGTTGGTCATAATGGCCAAATAGAATATCAAGGTTAAGAGACAGTTAACTTCTCTGGAATCCACCCCCCCCAAAAAAGTGAATACATTTTAAGCAAGATTGTAGTTGGTATGAAAAAAGAACAACATGCACCCCCCACACACATCTTCCATCCCACAGTCTGTGACACTGAATAGCACCCAAGAATACAGGTGAGCTGTTCCTGTTTGTAAGATATAAATCCACATCTGTCGTCAGGGTGATGTCCACAGTTGCTTTTGCAGACCCTGTGACCAAAGCTCCCTCTAGGGGGCACTGGCACAGAAAATTTTAGCCAGCAGCGCTGGAAGAATTCTCTCTGCTCACAACTGAAAGAAGGCATTCCCCCCCCTCCATTGGAAACAATGGAGGATGGCAGCACCGCCTTCTGGGGCCCATAGAATTGGACCTCCTGGTCCAATCATTTTGAAACTTGGGGAGTTTTTAAAGGAGAGGCATCAGCAGCTATGCAGTAAATGTGGTGCCTCTACCTAAAAAAACCCAGGCCCCTCCAGCACCTCAGATACCCCTGGATTGATTCTCCATTATAGCTTATGGGGCCCACTTACTGTAACGGTCCCTGTAGGCTATAATGGAGCTGGGGGGAAATCAGTTTTTTTGTACACCCATTTTGCTTTTCAGTATGATTTGTAAGCTACCTTGAGTCACAGGGAAAAGTGAGATATAAATATTTGAAATATTTGAATAAATAAATAGTTTGGGCTGGTTGATAACATCTAACTTCCTGTTTTTTAGGTTAGGCAGGGGTTTGACCATTATACTTGACCTGTAATGCTGGTTGTCATATTTCACTAAAAAACCCATAGTAGACTACAAGAGTTCCCCTCCCTCCCAAGTGCTGGTATGTTTTTTAAGGCTCAGTGCAGGGGAACCGTCCAAGGCCAGGTCTACCAAAGGGTGGGTAGACCTGTTCTCCAGAGGCCAGGTTTGCCAATGTAGTGGAAAAGGGTGGGTAGACCTGTTCTCCACAGGCCAGGTCCACCAATATAGTGGAAAGGGGAGGGTAGACCTGTTCTCCAGAGGCCTGGTCTACCCATGTAGAGGACATTTTCTGTAATGAAATTTGACTTGATTCTGTTTTCTCTTATAATGTTTAAATTATTCTTAAAATATAGTTTAAAAGAATTATTGTTATGGAAATAATCTTCTAAAAACTAATTTATGCAGTAGTCAAAACTTCCTGTTTTTTAGGTTAGGCAGGGGTTTGACCATTATACTTGACCTGTAATGCTGGTTGTCATATTTCACTAAAAAACCCATAGTAGACTACAAGAGTTCCCCTCCCTCCCAAGTGCTGGTATGTTTTTTAAGGCTCAGTGCAGGGGAACCGTCCAAGGCCAGGTCTACCAAAGGGTGGGTAGACCTGTTCTCCAGAGGCCAGGTTTGCCAATGTAGTGGAAAAGGGTGGGTAGACCTGTTCTCCACAGGCCAGGTCCACCAATATAGTGGAAAGGGGAGGGTAGACCTGTTCTCCAGAGGCCTGGTCTACCCATGTAGAGGACATTTTCTGTAATGAAATTTGACTTGATTCTGTTTTCTCTTATAATGTTTAAATTATTCTTAAAATATAGTTTAAAAGAATTATTGTTATGGAAATAATCTTCTAAAAACTAATTTATGCAGTAGTCAAATGTAGACTCGCTCACAACTTTAATGCTACTAGCATTTTTTTGCTCACAAGGTAGAATTTTTGCTCACAACACTGTGAAGCTTAAAGGGAACATTGCGGCCCTCTGAGGTTTTTTCCCCCTTTTTCCATTCCAGGGATCTGTATGAAGAAGTATAAACAGTTGACCAACGCCATTCAGCAGGCTCAGGACAATGGTGAGGAGTGTTGGAAGGGCTGGCTTCATTGAAATGTGGGATGCTCTGCCACGGGATGTATGGCCACAGGCATAGGCAGCTCTATAAAGGGATTAGATGGATTAATGGAGGATAGGTCTGTCGATGACTAAAAGGAGCCTCCATGTTCAGAGGAAGCAAGCCTCTAAATACCACCGTCGAGAGGCAACATCAGGGAAGGCCTCAGCCTCTATCCCCTGTTGTTGGCTCTCCAAAAAGGGACTGGTTGGCCACTGTGTGAGACTGAATGCTGGACTAGATGGACCCGAGGTCTGATCCATCAAGATTCTTCTTATGTGTAGCCCTCTTTCCTTCCCCCGATTAAATAGCCCAGAAATCTAGTGTGGTATAATTGTCAGGTTCAGCATCAGATTAGGACTGCGATGGCCCAGGCTCAGGTTTCCACTCTGCCTCAGTTACCTGGGTGACCTGATTCTGCCATTATGCTAGGTGTAGCATAACATTCAGAGGTTAAGGCGCTGAGCTGCAGACCAAAAGGTCGGTAGCTTGGCAGTTCGAGACCCGGGTGCCGCGCGACGGAGTGAGCTCCTGTCTCTGGCCCCAGCTCCTGCCAACCTAGCAGTTCGAAAGCAAGAAATTGCAAGTAGATAAATATCGCTTCGGTGGTAAGGTAACAGTATTCTGTGCACCTCGGCGTTTAGTCATGCTGGCCAGATGACCATGGAAAAGTCTTCGGACAGCGCTGGCTCTTCAGCTTAGACTCAGATTTGACTGACTTTCGAGCAAGGGAAACCTTTACCTTTACTTTACTGCTACCATGTGAGCCACAGAGCTCCTCAAAGAAAGGGCAGGATAAAAATACAATGCATAAATACAAATTGCACAGTGGGTTTTGTGCAGGAGTCCAGGGATGGTTGTTCATCTTCTCTCTGACACCTTTTCTTCCTGTCCCTTTCAGGCTTCCTGTTTTTCCATATCCCCTTCATCAGTTTCCATGGTCAAGATTACAGTAACCAGCACCCTGCTGTTACCACAACCCCTCCATCCCCAGCTTTGCTCAACAAAGCTGCTTGGTACGACTGGTATGACTGGCAGCAGCCCCCTGAGAAGAAGATTGCGCTGATGAGGAGGATTTACAAGAACTACTTGAGGGAGGAGAGCGGCCCTCCCTGAGGCTGTCAGGTGGCACTGGAGAGGACGGAACATTCCTTGGTAATGGTGGGAGGTCCTCATAGGCCCTCTGAAGAGGGGAAGGCCTACTTTGATTTTGGGTGCTTTTTTAAAAAACAAAAATCCACCTGGTGCTTGCATTATCAATAAAGTCTGCGCCCATTTTGGTGATTTAAGGTTTCTTTGTTTTTTCTGACCAGGCTGTGGTGGTGGGGAATACAAGGGCAAACAAAAGTCTTCAGAGCTTTTTAGTTTAAAAACAAGGGGTGGGGGGGAGAAAAGTGACAGTTTTCAAAAACTTCATGGTGTGAAAAAGAAAGGACTGAGGGGTGTTGTTTTGTTTTTGCCCTCTCCCATAATCACTAGCTTTCAGGGTAACCTCGTGAATAGACAGGTAAAAATTCAGAAGCACTTCTTCACACAGCACAGTTTAGAGAATTTAATTGTCATAAGTTGCAGGGACCACTGACTCAGATTGCTTCCCTTGCTATCAGCACCTATTAGCCATGATAAGTTGATGAAACCCCCAGCTTTGGAGGCAGTGTACCTCTGAATGCTACTTGCTGGGAGGCGGCAACAGTGCCGCTGCTTGGTTTCAATCCACTAAAATTAAGGCTGATGGCAGAGGAAACTAAAGACTAATGCACGTTCTTAGCCATGCTGTCTCGTGTCTAATTTAAATGATAAGCGCCTTGTGCTCTGTATTGCATCACGCATGTGAATAATTCTGCATTAATAACCCGTAACAATAGCAAGGTAGCACTGTTGCTTTCCTGTCCTCTTTGTAAGCTTCCCAGAAATACCTTCCTGGACAATATATATTTACTTACATAATTTAACTTCTGTCTTTCTGTCTTCACCCAGTTCAGAGTGGTGTGCAGAGTGATTTCCAGGAGGTCTCGTAAACAGGCACTGATCAGGCTGTGGCCTGCTTGGCATTTTTACAAGTTTGCCTGAAGAGGTTTTTTTAAAAGCCTTGAAGGCCAAGCAGTGCAAGAGATTGGTTAGCCATGCGATATACCTATTGCTATCGAAGGAATGTAAGAACCAATCAGCGTTGGAGGAATCCACTCCCAACTAGTGCAGCTAGTGTTAAACTCCCATAGCAAGAAGGGCAATATAAAGAAATGCCTGGGGTGGGGGAAATTTCTGGCTCTGGCAACTCCAGTTAGTTCAAAACACTACAGCCAGGTTATTATCAGGGTCTAGGCGGAAGACACCCATCAGTCCCATTCTGCAGTCACTCCATTGGCTGCCTATCAGTTACGAGGCTCAATTCAAAGTATGGACCTATCACATACAAAGCCCTTCCCAGCCTTGGTCCCTCATATCTGCAGGGATGCCTCTCTCGTAATGCTCTGCCAGGACAGGTTTGCTCATCTCTGCTGGGGCTTCTGCCGGTACTGTCCTGCAAGTGGGCAAAACCAACAACTGCCCCTACTCGTGTATTCGCTGTTGTGGTCTCCACCTTATGGAATGGCCTCCCTGAGGAGGTTAGGAAGACTTCCACTCTCATGCCATTCTGCAACTTACGTGTTAGAGAATAGCTTCAGTCCTGGAGGAGCTGCAGGAAGTCCCTACAGCATCCAGCTACGAGGGTCGTCACCAGCCATGTCTCTCTTATTTCATTCTTATCACAAGTGCTCCCTCACCTCCCCCCTTTACAGTGCCTAGTCCTGTCTCTGCTTCCCCAGAGTGAATCCTGCAGTCTTGGGCAAGCCCTTCCCCCCTCAAGTCCGACCTGAGCCCTGGGAAGCCTGCAGGGAGGCTCTTCTGGAGTTCTGACACTCCTTTCAGCTTGTTGTCCCCATCAGCTGTTCTGGGTGGCCCACCCCCTCCTGGCTGACACTGGAGAGAGGCACTTCCCCAGCATCTATGTCATTAGCTGTTTGCCGTCTGTGTCCCTCTGTGAACTCTGCTGGATCTCTTCTTCCAAGGCAGGTTCTCTCCTCCCTCCTTCTGGCTGTCCCTCTTCCCCCTTTCTTCTTACAAAGTTCACCTCTTGCCCCCTGTCAGTCCGGCCTCCAGCTGTTCTCTTTCCTCTGTTAAATGCATCCCCTGCCAGTTTGGTGTAGTGGTTAAGTGCGTGGACTCTAATCTGGGAGAACTGGGTTTGATTCCCCACTCCTCCACTTGCAGCTGCTGGATGACCTTGGGCAAGCCGTAGTTCTGACAAGAGCTGTTCTTGAAAAAGAGCAGTTTCTGTCAGAGCTCTCTCAGCCCCACCTACCTCACAGGGTGTGTGTTGTGAGGAGGGGAAGGGAAAGGAGTTTGTAAGCTGCTCTGAGACTCTGAGTGAAGGGCAGGGTATAAATCCAATCTCTTCGTCGTCTTCTTGTGGGCCCCTCCCTCTTGTTAGCCGGCTCTGGCTCGTCGTCTGCTTACACTATGCAAAATGGACTTATTCAAGAGAGCTTTCTGCACAGGTAAATAGATCTGAACAGTAACAAAATGGTCCGAAAGTTGAATTGGTAGAGGAGTAGGGACTGTGGTCTACACTACTGCATTGCTACCTATCACTGTAAGTGTGGCTCCTGACTAGGTAGCTTCTAAAGCATGTTTCAGCGTTTAAAAGCTCATGCTGTGTTTCAGTTCTGTCTGAGATTTGTTTTCAGATTTCTGTAGCCCAAACCCTATTGTGTTGTTCATTGATGTCCCATCCTGTTGATTGTACTTCATTGTACTTGAGAGCCAGTTTGGCGTAGTGGTTAGGAGCATGGATTCTAATCTGGGAGAACCAGGTTTGATTCCCCACTCTTCCACATGCAGCTGTTGGTGACCTTGGGTTAGTCATAAGTTCTCTCAGGGCTGTTCTCTCAAGAGCAGTTCTTGAAAGAGTTCTCTCAGCCCCACCTTCCTCACAGGATGTCTGTTGTGGGGAGAGGAAGGGAAAGGGATTGTAAACCACTCTGAGACTCCTTCAGGTAGTGAAGGGCAGTATATATATTCAGTCTCCTCTTCTACTGTGTAATCCACCTTGAATCTCAGTGAGAAAGGCAAACTATAAATAACCGAATAAATAATAATTTCAAATGTGAGGGGGGGGTATGTTTGAAGGGGTTGCTTTTTAGCTACCTCTATGATTGCCTCATGATTCTGAGGAATCCTCGCTTGCTCTTGAATATTTGTTAATAAATGTGGCTGGCCTGGGAAGTGAGCTGGTAAAACCACATTTCCTGTCATTCTAGAAGTTATTTCGAGGAAGTTTAAAGCCACTCAAAGTATTTCAGGGCCACAAGGCCTAGTATCTAAGTGCAACACACCGTTACAGGTCCACTGCGGGTCACATTTATGTAACTGTTATGTGTGAGTGATTGTGCACTGTTTGCAATCATCCAGTTAATCCTACTCATTATAACTTTCCAGAGTGGCCATTAGTGGAGAGAACAAGCTGTCCATGCTGTTCATTAAAGCGGAGGAAGGGAAATGGAGCCCTGAAACTACAATAGGACATGAGCTTTTGTAAGAACTAAGTGCTTCCGAGTTTTAACTTTTTCTTAAAAGCTGCTAGCCCCCCATCAGTGTTAAGAAAAATCTGAGTGCATGTTGGACTAAATATGTACTTATATCCTATTATTCTTGCATGAAACTTGGAGCAACACAGGGGTTCCTAAGAAGTTTCTTATACTTAAAAAAAAAAAAAATCCACTGTCCATGTCTGGGGTAACGTTGCTTTAACAGAAAATGCCTCTCCACATTATAAGCCTAAACATGTCTGACCTTGAAAGTGTTAAGAGCAAAAGGAGCAAATGAAGTGAAGATTGGTTTTTGATTCCCAGCATTTCTAAATCTATCTTTTTGCCTGACGCAGGCGAACTTATTTATTAAGATGGTCAGATCTGATGTAATTGTGTTTGGGCCATGCGTACCATAAATTATCAGAAGAATGCAAAGAAGTATTTACTAATCCTCCTAATCTGCAGGATTGCCTCTCCTGCTGTGCTCTACTGTGACAGGCTTCCTCATCTGAGCAAAGCCTGAAGGGGCCACCCTGCAAATGGGGAAGATGGATAGCTGCCCAGTGCCCGTGTATGTGCATGGTCTCCTGTGGCTCTTACCTTGTGGAATGGGCTGCCTGAGGAAGTCAGGCTCACGCATATCTGTCATTCTGCAAACTCTGTAAAACAATTGTTCAGTGACGGTAACAGGAAAGCCAGTTTGGTGTAGTGGTTAAGTGCGCGGACCCTAATTTGGGAGAACCGGGTTTGATTCCCCACTCTTCCACTTGCAGCTGCTGGATGACCTTGGGCAAGCCATAGTTCTGGCACAGCTGTTCTTGAAAAAAAGAACAGTTTCTGTCAGAGCTCTCTCAGTCCCACCTATCTCACAGGGTGTCTGTCGTGGGGAGTGGAAGGGAAAGGAGTTTGTAAGCCGCTCTGAGACTCCTTTGGGTAGTGAAAGGCAGAGTATAAATCTAATCTTCTTCTATAGGGTAAGTGAATGATTCAGGAAGGTTCTTTTATAGAGCCTAATGGGTACCAGTTTCTCAGATATGCTTTTCCAGATACCTCTGCAATGGAGGGGGATAGGGGCTTACTTTAAAAAGAAAAGAAAGCTGGGAATTCAGAGAACCTGGTACATGTATTTGGTATATTGTGGTATTGATATAACAATATTCTAATGCCAGTTTTAAAAAAGAAACCCTTAAAGCAAGGGGAGGAAAAGGCCTCCACATGGAGACGCTGGGAAAATATGGATTTTCCTACCCATACAGCAGTCAGCCAGACTTTACTGCGATGTTTTGCAAAACTTTGGAGCAAACTATGTTTGAAAAGGATTGTAGAAAAGCCAGGGAAACCCAGGGGGTGCACAAATGCATCATGATGCTGTGTTGAAGTGGGGGGGGGATCCACTTCCCAAAAACACTGAGCTCAGAGCAGACAACCTGTGTGGAAATGGCCAATGTAGCAGCATGTGGTTTTCTCATCCTGAGAAAGTGTGCCTGCACAAAAAGGAAGGAGACAAGGCCTGCGTGCATGTGCTTCCTCAGGATGTTCAAGCAGTGTGTTGTTGCAGTTGCTTTCTCATCCTGAGCATAAGGACATAAGAGCCCTGTTGGATCAGACCAGTGGTCCATCTAGTCCAGCATCCTGTCTCACACAGTGGCCAACCAGTTCCTCTGAAGGTCCAACAACAGGACATGGAAGATGAAACCTTCCCGAGGTTCTGTCCCATCACTGGGATTCAGTGGTTTACTGCCTCTGAATATGTAGGTTCCCTTTACTCACCATGGCAAAGAACATAAGAAAAGTAAGTAACCAACGTGGTGGCAGGGAGACTGGTAAGGGGTGGACAAGATGCCAGCAGCTGTTGGACATGGCTTGTTTGCTTCACAGGCCACACAAGTGGCCTTAAAGGGCTTGACATGGATCTCAGCTTCTTGAGGGAAGTCATAGGACATATGCATAGCACATTTGTACGATTTGTATACAGTGAATGGAAATAATTCATTGCTGGAGATTCATTTGAAAAGTCATTAAAATGTTGCTGTGTTCTGCCACAGTTTGCCATTTGCTCTTGAAAATCAAGTGAACATGACATTCATTACCAAAATCAGGTGGCTTTGATGGCCAATTGAAGCAAAAATCAGGGTCAATAAAGTAACATAAAAGCCATCAGTGAACGTATAAGGTAAGCAGTAGTGTACGTTTCTCTATGAATCCAAATAGTGGCTCCTGAGGGGTATTTCGGGTTGGGCAAATGGTAAGTGGGGAGGCTTAAGCCCCTTCCTACATACCATGGCTCCATTTTGAATGAGCACAGGGAACAGGAAGCATAGAACTCATTAAAAATCCTTGCCCTGGCTACAAGGACTTTTTAATGTGTGAACTGGCCCACAGTTTGGCAAGACTGAGGATTGTTCTCTCCCCATGCATTTCAGAAGGGTGGGCTTCAGCGATAACGGAAGGGGTGACCTTTGTGTTCTGCTGGTAGATGTGGCTTCTGTTACTGGACACCTAACTTTTGAATCCAGCCCTAACAGATTCTTCATCAAACTTCTCAGTTTTTCCATCTGGCTCACTCCTTCAAGTGACTCAGGATGACATTGAGCTGGATCTCAATTTACTTTGTTTTGATAATTATTAAGGGCTGAAACATATAGAGGTTTGGAATGTTTAGATTAAGATATTGTTACCTTGAAGTTTAAGAGGATAAGGGGAGAGTAAAGATAGAAATACAAACGGGGAAAGGGGGGAAGAGCATTGCGGGAAGCCACCAAAGGGGGGGGAGGAGTTAATATAAAGGGATATGTGATAAAAGAATTGTAATGTAATGTTGAATGTGTTGTTATATCCAAAATAAAAGTTTTGACAAAAAAAAAGAAAAGTCATTAAAATGTTGCAGTGTTCTGCCACAGTTTGCCATTTGCTCTTGAAAATCAAGTGAACATGACATTCATTACCAAAATCAGGAATTGAACCTGTGCTTTTGAGGGACACAGAACTGTCAGGTTGTTATTAAAGCCATTTAATGAAAAACGTTTCTAAGGCATTTCTAAGTCTAAGGAACAATAAATCCTCATTTATGCCTGCCATTTTAATCTTGAAATGGAAGGGATTTAAGTCATTAACAGTGCCATCCTAAGCACTGTTACACTCATCTATTGACTTCAGTGGATGTGGAGGGAGTAATTTCTGCTTAGGATGGCACTGTACGGCAGCAGTCCAAAAAACAGTTTCTGGAGAATAAGCTACATTTAATTAAATAGCACTTATTTCTTAACAGATCTACTTAGGGTTGTTCCCCAAAACAGAGCAATTCCAAAATACAGACGCTCCAGTTATATTATGTGCTCCTGCCGCTGTTTCACTTGCTTCTCCGTTCCAAATACACTGTCCAAACTTGTCTTCAAAAACCTTAACAGAGCTAGGAGTCAGTGTTTCTTCTGTGGTATCTGGCAGCTATGTGTGGCACGAATTCTTTGTCTAATGCTCTGAAACGTGTCCAGTCAGTTTGTTTCTTGCTGTTTATAGTGGTGGGAATAACTGTGAGCGAGAACCTTATGGGCAAACTGCCAAAATAAAATGAGAGTGGCAAGATATTTGATCAAATTTTATTCCCCTTCCCAGAGCCATGTTCTGTTTTGCTCTCCGGTTTAAAGGAACGATTGAAAGAAGACAGGATTTTCATATTAACTTTGGAAGCTTGTTGTTGTTTTTTGCACTTATGACAAGTTTTATTGTTAGATGTTTTGTGCTGCATAGTTTGCCATCCTGAACACATCCCGATGAAGGGAGTTTTGACTCTTGTAAGCTCATACCCTGAAAATCTTGTTGGTCTCTAAGGTACTACTGGAATCAAATCTAGCTGTTCTACTGCAGACCAACACCTGCTACCCTCTGAAAAAATCCTGAACACAGTTCCCTTGGAGCAAGCCACCTCAAAAAGAGCATGAGTAACCTCTGAGCAAACATGCAACATATTGGATTGGCTCTTCCAGATCTTAATTTGATCTCTAACCCAGCTTTATGGTTAGAAGCCAGTTTGGTGTAGTGATTAAGTGCGCGGACTCTAATCTGGGAGAACCGGGTTTGATTCCCCACTCCTCCACTTGCAGCCGCTGGATGACCTTGGGCAAGCCATAGTTCTGTCAGAGCTGTTCTCTCAAGGACAGTTCTGGAAAGAGCTCTCTCAGCCCCACCTACCTCACAGGGTGTCTGTTGTGGGGAGGGGAACGGAGAGGAGTTTGTAAGCTGCTCTGAGACTCCAAGTGAAAGGCAGGGTATAAATCCAATCTCCTCCTCCTTCTGTATAGTATCACCTAAAGTAAAAGGGAATTTCATTTTATGAGGTGGGTGGGGAATAATTAGGCATGCTGTCAAATTCCAGGTTGCTGGGATGCCAACTCAACCAGGCAATGGGAATATTTGTATGGGAAGAGTACTGTTTTTATTTGACAGACCACAGCTCTTTTATATTCTCCAGTCCAGTCTGTGAGAAACATCAAGGTAGCATTGGCTGGCAGCTTGTAGTTAGTTATCCTTTGTGTAACACTATCCCTAAACATGTTACTCTGCAGTAAATCCCCCAGAGTTGGTTGCAGCCCTACATTTAGTTGGGAGTAATTCCTACTGAATTCAGGAGGGGCTTACATCTGAGTAAACATGCTCGGGAAACGGACTGCACAACCCACCGTATTAAATAAAGCCGGCAGCTTTAACGGGATTCTCCCAATCTAGCTTCATTCTTGATTCAGGGCGGCTGCCACGCCCCACCGTGGTGCCTGGAGATGCGCACTCCTGTCTAGACACTACCGACTGGAGGAAGGTTGCTGAGGAGCGGGGAATCCGGTTGCTAGGCCGACTCCTGCTAGGCCGACCCTGGCAACGGGGCGGAGAGCGGGTTTCGTTGCTTAGGGCGTGGCCGAACGCTCGGAGAAGCGCCTTCTCTCTCGGAGTCACTCCCCCTCGTTGCTAGGCGGAAGTCCACGCGACGGGAGTGGGGTGGGGAAAGAAAGGACCCGGATGCCGGGATCATGGAGTTCCCTTTCGATGTGGACGTGATATTTGGGGAGCGGATCACGACCGTGGATCAGCACTTGCAACCATCCGGGCGAAGGGGGCCCGGGTTCGCCACGACCCACAGGTAACCCATAGCAACGCCCTGAGATTGCGACCGCTCTCCCATCAGCCAATGGCCGAGCATCCTTGATTCAGTATTTCCCGAGCCCCTTCGTGATGGACAATAGTTGCCACCTTGTCTATTGTCCCAGAGCATGATGGGAGATAGTTGTCTCTCGCATAGGCGTGAACGTATCTGCATACCTACATCCCTCGTCCTGAGCTCTTAGATTTACCGCTGGTGACACCCGTCAGAAGTATAGCATGCTGGAGAGCAGTTATTTCCCACTGTGGTGTGGAATGCCGTGTAGTCTGGGCAATGTACTGGTTGGGCTCTTTCTTTAGCAAAGTAAAAACGCCAGTTCTGTGGCACTGGAGGGACTCACCACATGTATTCCTTCCAGCATAAACTTTCAGACTGTATGTCTGGTGAAACAAGCTCACCTCTGACTCACGAAAACTTCTGCTGGATTGAATAGATTTTGTGAATCTCCCAAGTGCTACTGGCCTCCCGTTTTATCTTGGCGATACAGACTAACATGGCTACCAACTCGAACTACCACCATGGAAAGTGTTTTGCTTATTTAGGACATTTTGGTGTAGTGGTTAACTGTGCGGACTCTAATCTGGGAGAACTGGGTTTGATTCCCCACTCCTCCACTTGCACCTGGCTGGATGACCTTGGGCAAGCATAGTTCTGATAAGAGCTGTTCTTGAAAAAGAGCAGTTTCTGTCAGAGCTCTCTCAGACCCACCTACCTCACCTACCTGTGGGGAGGGGAAAGGAGTTTGTCAGCCACTCTGAGTGAAGAGCGGGGTATAAATCCAATCTCCTCCTCCTCCTCCATTTTCTGTACTATCATTTATGTTCCCCACCCCAAACCTGGTCCCTGGGTCATATTGAGTTCGATTGGACTCAGTCTTGAAGCTCCCTGGGTGGCTTTGCACCAGGCATTCCCCTAACCAGCCTTGCAGGGCCATTGTGAAGAGGGGGTTGCTTCTGTGCATGTCACCTTGGATTCATGGCTGGAAGGATGAGATAATAATAATGTACAGATCCATCAAACTGTGTGTGTAAATTAGTCGCTGCTCCTGCTTAGCAACTTTAAGCCAGTGGATAGAACTGGAAAAGCTGGACTGAGCCAGCAATTAATTAGATGTCTTTGAACTCATCTGTGTCTGTCCCCCTAATTTGCCTCTCAGGAGTGCTTTGAATACAATAAAGATACCAAAGTGCTTAGTTAGAGCTAGTGTGCAAATTGCAGAGCATGCTTTCTAGCACTAGGACTCTGTTTGGTCTGTGGTACAGATTACGGCATGGGCACCCTGCTATTGGTGTTGGGGGTTAAGTTTAAAATCAACTAAAACAGCCATCTTGGCCATTTTCCTTACAGGACATGATGGATAATTCCTTGTATCCAATGCTCCCTCCAAGCTGTGGAGTCTTGTGAGCGAAAATTTTACCTTGTGAGCTACTGGCATTAAAGTTGTGAGCAAGTGATTTGGCTGCTGCATAAATTAGTGTGCTTTGGAACCATCCTTCCTGTGAGCTGGAGGCTAAAAAAACTCTGAGCTGACTCACACTAACTCAGCTTAGAGAGAACACTGCTTGTATCTCCTGTCTGTATGACAACCCCCCAGTGCTATACTGTGTACATTTCTTGCCCCAGTACCCTAGCACATGAGAACAGGTAAAACTCCCCTATAGCAAAACCCAAAAAGTGGGGAGGGCACCTTAAAGGCTTAACAGACTTACTGAACCCAATTCATCCCAGGTACGTACCACATGCTGGTGTACTTCTGCAAAGGATGCTGCTCCTGTTGATAGCAGCAGTTCACCCCTCAATCTTTCTACTTTCAAGGAACCCTTTCTGCACTGAATTGTCTGCCAAGAAGACACCTCCTGTGCATCTGTCATGCAAGCCATATGCACTGCAGAGAATCTTGGTGCATACTCAGTTCATGCAGATCATGCTTGTACGCTTCGTTGGCCCCACAGTTGGTTTCTGTTAACAGAGATTAGTATGCAGCCAGTGCTTTCCCTGTGAGTGTGTGTGTTACAGAGGTCAAGGAGAAATGACAAGCTGCCTTTCAAACTCTGGGTTTCAAGTGCTGGGCTGGGAGACCCGGGTCTGAAGCCTGCTGGGTGTCCTTGGGGCCAGTCTCATACCCTTGGGCTAACCTACCTCTCAGGGTTGTTGTGAAGAGCAAATTGAAGAAAGGAGAACAACGTGAGCCACTTTGAGTCCTCATTGCGAACAAAGGGGAGGTATAAGTGAAGTAAATAAATTACCTGCCTTCTTTTTTTTTTAAGTAGTTTATTTTGGTTTTTTACATCATATACAAAATAATTGTGTTAGTTTTACAACATTTTTGGAGCATCTTATCCATACATTTCTAACCATCTATCTAGTTTCTGCCATCTTTTCTTAAACACACTATCAAATTTTCCCGCTAGTAACGTATTTATTTTGTCCATTTCTTTTATAGCCATGATTTTTATAATTAATTCTTCTCTATCTGGCAATTTATCAGATTTCCAACATTTTGCTATAGCTATTCTAGCGCTTGTGAGGATATAGAGAGTCAAACGTGCATCGTTATAGTTTATTTTGTCAGGCAACATGTTTAGTAAATATACTTCTGGATTCAATGGTAAGTTTATTTCTACTATTTCTTGAATGAGTTGTTTTATTTTTTCCCAAAACGTTGCCACTGATGAATTTCTAAGAAGGTTCAGAGGTACCCTATGATTCTTTAGAACATATCTGGAAAGCCTTCAACAGAAAGTGCTAAAAGGATTACTTCATTACAAACAACAGCAGCTTATATTGCTGTCATCTCTGAGAGCAATACTTGGATACCTCCTCCTTTTTTGGAATCACTTGGACGCATGGGCAAAACAGGTCCCAGCTGGCAATCCCAAATCCCTGTACTGGTCAGACGCGTCCTCTTCCGTTTCCACTATGAAACGGCATGGGGCCCTTTTAAACTGTTTATCTTTTGTGACATCTTATTTCTGCTTTGTGCAGCTCTTTGCTGTAATGAGCTCAATCAGCTACAGCAACCTGATGTGATCTGTTTGCCCCAAGGCCCGTGACATTGTGGCTTTATCGCTGTTGGGAATAAAGGAGGGGGGAGGAGGGGGCTCACCCGGCTGTCCCCTGTGACTGAGGCAACAGCTTCTCGATTCTACTGTTTTGAGAGAGCATTACTGGTGGGAGGGAGAGACATGCTAGGATTGTTGGCCTCTGCCCCTCGGCCTTGGTGAAAGCAGAACGAGAATGTTGTGGGGGAGCTGGGAGGGAGCGAGGGATCCCAAGCCCATTGGTGGAAGAAGAGGGGCATCTAGTGGTTAAAGGGGTTAAAGAACATCACTCCCTGCAGACAGGATACTAATGGTGACTGGGGGCGGGGAAGCTCTGCATGCTTCACAACCACTTTCACAAGCCCTGGAAATAATTCTCGCCTCTCTCGCTTTGGTGTGAAGATGTGCTGACCCCTCTCACGTATATTTAAACGACATTGTTCCTTTCACGCTTAGATATACCCTGTTTATTGTGTGTCACTGAAGGGAAGAAGAAGAAGAAGAGATTGGATTTATACCCCGCCCTTCACTTGGAGTCTCAGAGTGGTTTACAAACGCCTTTCCCTTCCCCTCCCCACAACAGACACCCTGTGAGGTGGGTGTGGCTGAGAGAACTCTGACACAAACTGCTCTTTTTCAAGGACAGCTGTGCCAGAGCTTGTGACTGACCCAAGGTCACATCAGCAGGTGCAAGTGGAGGAGTAGGGAATCAAACCCGGTTCTCCCAGATTAGAGTCCGCGCACTTAACCACTACACCAAACTGGCTGAGGTCCTATGATCAGCGCCTCTCTTTTGGTTTCTTTAAGCAAAAACGGCGAATGAGTGTGCGCTGCTTCTGTTCTCCCTCTCTGTCTTGGAGCGATCTCTAGTTCCATTCAGGGCAAGAAGAGCCGGATCGAGAAAACACAGCGGCTCGCCTAGCAAGGACTCTACGTATTCCCTGTGTCACTACAGATGCTAATTTTCCGTTCCCAGGCATTTCCCCTCTGCTCTAATCAAGCTGATTACAATATGGGTGATACCCTCTGGATCCTTTACAACATGCAACCGGGGTCAAATGTAACTCTTTTGCTGTAGACCAGGGGTGGCCAAACTGGGGCTCGGGAGCCACACGCGGCTCTTTCACACATATTGTGTGGCTCCCAGCAAGGCAGCTGGGGAAGCGAAGCGGAGGCATGTCTCCCCAATCGGTCTTCCCTTCCCCAGCCAGTGTTCCCCTCCCTGGGCAGGCTTCAGGTGAGGAGGGAGCAGAGAGAGAAAGCAACTTTAGCTTGAAATGCATTCTCAAAGCCCCCCCCCCCAAGCCTACAAATATAATTGGACAAATAAATATCATTATCAATATCTATTTTTACCCCTTTTGTTTTTATTTCTGGCAGTCTCGTTTAATGTTAATAAAAAGCAAATTTGCATATTTTTCAATTAAAAACATGTCTATACCCTCGCACCCTCGTCCGACGCTTCCCTTTTTCTGAGCGAGAGAAGAGAGCCGTCAGGCCCCGGAGAGCCCTACCCGAAACTGCCTCCTTCAGTCAACCCGCAGCTCCTTGGACTGATGTGCTTGTGGGGCCTGCCTGGCCGTCTCGCCCATCACCCTTGACCTTAGAGGAGGTGAAACGATTGTCAGTGCATCCGTCTCCCCCTTAACAGTCCCTCTTGTAACTTATTTTGTTTTTCTCCTTCAGCAAGCAGTGCATGATTGCTTGGTTTCACTGCTATTTCCCGTGGACCACAATAAAATCTTATCTTAAAAAAAACACAACCCCCCCCATGTCTATAATATTTGTTCGTGTCCTGCGGCTCTCAAACATCTGACGTTTATTCTGTGCGGCTCTTACGTTAAGCAAGTTTGCCCACCCCTGCTGTAGACCAATACAGCCACCCTCTGAAACGACGTATTCCCTGCTTGCAGACAACTGTTGGTTTCATATTATTATAGATTTAGAAGAAGAAGAGGAGATTGGATTTATACCCCGCCTTTCACTACCCAAAGGTGTCTCAGAGCGGCTTACAAACTCCTTTCCCTTCCCCTCCCCACAACAGACACCCTGTGAGGTGGGTGGGGCTGAGAGAGCTCTGACAGAAACGGCTCTTTTTCAAGAACAGCTCTTATCAGAACTACGGCTTGCCCAAGGTCATCCAGCAGATGCAAGTGGAGGAGTGGGGCATCAAACCCGGTTCTCCCAGATTAGAGTCCGCACACTGAACCACAACACTTAACCTTCCCCAAAGATGCTCAGAGTGGTTCTCCTCCCCTCTCCCTCCTTTTATTCTTGAGACATCCCTGTGAGCTGGCTCAGGTTGAGAGAGTGTGACTGACCCAGAATTACCCAGTGAGCATCATGGCTGAGCAGAGCCTTGAACACAGGCCTCCCAGATTGTACTCCAGCATGCTAACCACTGTACAATATTGGCTTTCTGTAGTTTTCTCATCTTACATTTTCTACATGGAAAGCACGTGTTCTACTGCTGAGCTATAGGCCTTTGATTTTTACTTCTGGGAGAAGTTTGGTGTTGTGGTTAAGAGTGGCGGACTCTAATATGGAGAACCGGGTTTGGTTCCCCACTCTTCCACAAGCAGCCAGCTGGGTGACCTTGGGTCAGTCACAGTTCTCTCAGAGCTTTTCTCTCAAGAGCAGTTTCTGTCAGAGCTCTCTCAGCCCCACCTACCTCACAGGGTGTCTGCTGTGGGGAGAGGAACGGAAGGAGATCGTAAGCCGTTCTGAGACTCCAAGTGAAGGGCAGGGTATAAACTAGGCTTACCAGGTACTTACCTTGAATCGGCAGGGGACACATGCATCTTGTCAGGAACATTCCCGCGCGGAAAACAAATGTGCCACACGATGCCATCGCCCAGATGATCGTCTGGGCGATGGCATGGTGCAGCGGGGATGGGTTCCACCGGGGGGGTGTTCTGGCCGGGAACCATGTGTCCCCCGCCAATTCGAAGGTAGGTACTTGGTAACCGTAGTATAAACCCAACTCTTCTTCTCTAGTAGTTGGAGCTGTGCTGTAAGGCTGCAGTCCTTTTCACACTTGGGAGCAAATTGAGAAGACATCAGGCAGCTTCACTCCATGTTACCATGTGTAGGACCAGGCCACAGGGAAGGGGCCATATATTCTTCTGACTTGGGGATGCCTGCAGTGCTTCCGACTTCCCCCAAGGCTTGGTTAACCTCTAGTTGCACGTTTGCGTTGTGATTCCATGTGGGTGTCTTTTTATATTTAGAGTGGATCTGCAGCAGCAGCTCATGATGATCATCGATGAGATGGGCAAGGCTTCTGCCAAGGTAAGTCAGGATTTGGGGCTGGAGGTTTACAAGGGCAAGGAGGTGGAGCAGCAAGAGCCGCTGCTGTCATCTGTGAGTCACGTGATGCTCCATTATGCTGAGCCTAACTTCAGATGCATTTCGCCCAGTATCCTCTACTCTGACCGGCAGCAGCACTCTGAGCTTTCAGCCGCAGGCCTTTCTGAGCCCTGCTGCTTGAGATCTCCTTAACTGGGGTTTTCTGTCGCCATTCTCGGCAACAAGGGAAACTTATTCAAAGGTCAATTCTGTTCCTAGTGAAGCTCCACCAGTCTCAGGCAACGGAATGGGAATGCAGTGGCAGGTAGATTCTTTCAGCACCGTGTTGTTGTTGTTTTGATCTTTATGATAGGATTTTTATTGTATCTTATGGGAGTTTTGTTTTAATTTGTACATATATATTTTGTATATGATCGGAGCCGCCCTGAGCCTGCTATGCAGGGAGATACTGAAACCAGAAACACTAAACTCTGAAAGTGAGCTGCTGTCAGGGTTGTTAGTCAGGTCACACCACACAGGGCTTCATAAGAAGATAACTGTTTATTGATGGATCCAGTACTAATGATCACGTATACAGCTTGTGTCAGGAATAGCCAGTATAAGGGTCTCTGACATAGTGAAATCAAACATCCCGCCCCCTAATGAGCTGAAGCCAATGATTATAGTTCATGCACACGGCAAAAGCAAGCAGGCATAGCAGAAAGCCGTTACTTTCCCAGCCGAGTAAATGCAGCTGGAGACTACAAGGTCAAGCCTGAGATAGCGTACAGTAGCTGGACAGGGAAGAGCTGAGGAGGAGAACACCCCTCCACATTCCAGACCCATGACAGGGCTACCTGACAGCTGCACCTAAGAAGCTCCCCACTACTAGAAAAAGAATCATATATAGTGAGAGTATAAATGTCCCACCAGTGAAAATTCACAAATAGTAACTCTATTGAAAATAGTACAACACTACAGTCAAATACAAAAAAACCTGTGCAAATGAACTCACAGAATTTACAAAAACACAGTAGCCAAATGAACAAATAGGATGTAGTCAAGCAAAATCTAACTATACAATAGCTGAGGCATCCTATAAAAAATGGGAACTAGAACATTCAGAGACTGTAGTGTTGTTCGGAGTTTAGTGTTTCTGGTTTCAGTATCTCTCTCACTCTATTGTCCTTTGTTGTTTTTGTATTCCACTATGCAGGGAGGGCAGGGTCCAAATCTAATAAATAAATAAATAGAGGTCACCAGGAAAGAGCAGGCAGACAGATCCCGTTCGGATTCATATTCGACCAGACACCTCAAGAGCTGCTGTCACCAAGACCTTGACACCCTTCTGCGCTTGAGCAGCACACACAGATCACTCTCCTTAAGTCTAGTTGCCAGGAGTTTGTGGTGTTCTCTGTTGTCTGTGGCTGGTCAATCAGTTCGCCTTCTACTCTCCTACTGAATTTAAATTTCAGCTCATTTTATAATCTGATATTGTTTCTGTATATGGTTATTATGGTACACTTTTTTGTTTGAGTTTCCTTGTTCTGTCTGTAACTTGTAATTTTGCGATTTGTGCTGGTCATTGGCTGATTAAATCTGGCTGATTGATGGTTTGATTAGGTGAATCGCTGTCAGCCAACTGCCATGTGATTTAGATGTCTGTTTTGCAGCCTTGGAGTTCATAGCTTCCCTTCCAGCCCTGTTGTTAATGCTGGATTTGTGCCATGGCGGTCTGAGTTCCAATCCCAGCTCAGCTGTGAGTACCAGCCAGGAGAATGAGGAAAGAAGGGCAAAGGTGATCATGAGCTTATTCACGGGGAAGGAAAAACTGGACAAATCCAGCATGAGCTTTAGGGCTAGGTTTGGCTATATAACAGTACAACAGACTGTTGTTTTGAAAGTGAGGCTGCCGTGTTGTTCCCAAATGAGATTTCAGTCTGTTGAGAGAAATGTTTAGGCCCCATGGCTGTGTGAGAGACCTGACCATGTGAGGAAGTGTCTCTTGCCTAATCTATGGCCCACTAAATCGCACACAGACCATAAGCACTGTTCCCTCTAAGCTGTGGAGTCCTGTGAGCAAAAATTCTACTTTGTGAGCTGCTGGCATTAAATTTGTGAGCGAGTGATTTGGCTACTGCATAAATTAGTTTGTTCTGGAGCCATCCTTTCTGAGCAAAGAAAAAACGTGTGAGCTGAAGGCTAAAAAACTTTGCGCTAGCTCACACTAACTCAGCTTAGAGGGAACACTGACCATAAGTATGTTATGACCTGTCAAAGTTTTGACAACATTCCCCTACTCTTACAGTTACAAGCAGCCAGCAAAACAGGCAATTATATTTTGGGTCCGTAGCTGGAGGACCGTGTTTGACCTTATGTGTCAGATGGTAAGGAATATGTGATGCCTTTCAGTACAGGAGTATGGTTTGGCTCCAAAGGCTGAAAACCAGTGAGGATTGTGAGGCACTCCAAGGGGATCTGTCAAGGATGGGCGAGTGGGCGTCAACATGGCAAATGGGGTTCAATGTGGCCAAGTGCAGTGCTGGTAGAAAGACAGGGTGGGTTTTCAAGTTCTGTCTAGAATATAGAACTGGCTATGGGACAACGAGTTGCTTCTCAGCAAAACTTGTGGACAGCAAGGGGGCAGCAAAGGACTAGAATTATGGAGCTATCTGTTGTAAAGAATTTTTTAGTCAATCAGCTATCTGCATCCTACAAGAGTGATTATTTAAATGTAAATGCGATTAATTAAATGTAAATAAATGTGCACATTACACAAATCTCTACACAGGTAGCTTTCTGGGACAGAGAATGTGAGATAATTTAGGGTTTAAACAACAAAGAAGATGAGACTGTCTTTAGTGTTTTCTCCCCACCCCCATTTACTATCACAATGGAAGTCTGAACCATAGCCTCAAACCATGCCCTTAACTCTGATGTCCACCAATTAAAATCAGTTTCCACCTACTAATCAGTGTTTTCCTTGAGCCCCATACACCTTGTAACCCATCAAGAGAAAGCCTTCTGCTAGTCACATACATGGTCCCCCACACGTACCAATTCTGAAAATCCAAGGCAATTGACAAAATGAGAAGTTGATGAGACCATGGTGGGCTGTGAAACACTGATGGATTTTACCTCTCCAACGTTATTCACATTGGATCTCTTCTGAGCCAGTTTGGTGTAGTGGCTAAGTGCACGGACTCTGATCTGAGAGAGCCGGATTTGATTCCCCACTCCTCCACTGGCAGCTGCTGGATGACCTTGGACAAGCCATAGTTCTGTCAGAGCTGTCCTTGAAAAAGAGCAGTTCTCAGTCAGAGCTCTCTCAGCCCCACCTTCCTCATAGAGTGTCTGTTGTGTGGAGGGGAATGGAAAAAAGATTGTAAGCCACTCTGAGTGAAAGAGTGAAAGAGTGAAATCTGTCCTCCTCCTCCTTATTCATGTAAAGATTTATAAACCTCTGAAATTACTAGGCCAAACTTTACCATTTTTTTCTCTCATCAGTGAATGAGCTATCTGTAGGCCCTCATAGAGGCTTCCTGGCCTCAATGGGTCACTTGTTCAACATTTGTTTCTTTCCTTGCTTCCAGAACCGGGAAGGGGGTCGTGATTGGCTTCCTCAAGGTTGGATACAAGAAACTCTTTGTACTGGTGAGTTCTGCTGGACAATTGCCTTTGTGGGGAGAGCTGCAGAGAGCAAGGCTGAGGATGTCGTCCTCTTAGAGTTGAGGCCCTCTGTCCAGCCTGATGTGAGTGAGCGCATCTATCCAAGGCACTAAGCTAAATGGTGGCACGTAGCTCCCTGTCTCCAGCAGTATCCCTGGAATCAGTACAGCAGTCTGGACAGCCATTTCTTAGAGTGGAGTCTTTCATGTTCAGGAGGCTATGCAAAGGCAAAGAGACAGTTCAGTGTAGTAGGTTGGGAGTGTAGACTCTAATCTGGGAGAACCGGGTTTGATTCCCCACTCCTCCACATGCAGCTGCTGGGGTGACCTTGGGTCAGTCACAAGTTCTTTCAGAGCTGTTCTCTCAAGAGCAGTTCTCGAGAGAGAGCTCTCTCAGCCCCACCTACCTCACAGGGTGTCTGTTGTGGGGAGAGGAAGGGAAAGGAGATTGTAAACCACTCTGAGAATCCAGTCTCCTCCTCCTCCTCTTCTTCTGTGACTGGGAAGAAGACAGGCCTGCCTGGCTACTCTTCCACAGCGGCTATGAAGCTGGCTGATGCTTATGTTCCTGTGGTAGGAAGATGAAGGGCCAAGCTTAGAGACAAGCAGATCTTTAACGGCTCCTTTCACAGTACTGTATGCTTTGGGCAGAGTCGTGCTTCCAAAGGGTCTTGTTCTCTAATGCTGGTGACAGGTGTGTAAAGTAGGCAGACAAGCTGTGGATCGGAGAATCCCCTGAGACCTAAGAGTAGTTCCCCCCAAGAGCTCAGGGTGACGTTCTCTTTATCATTGTTCTCTTTATTCTCACAACAGCCCTGTGAGGTGGGCTAGGCTGGGAGTGTGTGACTGGGTCCCCGCCAAGGTCAACCGACGGAGCTTCAGGGCAGAGTGGGAATTTGAACCTGGGTCTGCCAGATCCTCGGCTGACACTCTCACTGCCACACCACTAGAGAAACCTGTATGTTACCCTGCGTCCCTTAGTGGAGGGCCGAGATAAAAATGGGATTGTGCAGGGTTTTTTAGGTGGCTGGGAGGCTAAGCCTCCATTCGCTTTCAGAGAGAGAGAGGTACGTGTGCCTTGTTTCCCCATGCTCAGTTTTTCACACCGATACCAGTCTTATCAAGTCTCCTTCCCTTTTTTTTTCAGGATCGCCACGGCGCTCACAATGAAATGGATCCCCTGTGCGTCCTGGACTTCTACATTCATGAATCCCTCCAGAGGCATGGCTATGGCAAGGAGCTCTTCCACTACATGTTGCAGGTGATCCTTTTTGGTCTTATCCCCGGGGCAGTTAAATCCCAGCCGGTGCCCTTCAGTATGATATCCCAGCTGGGTGAAGGCCATTCGGGGATCATGAGCTAATCAGATTGGTGGAGAGACTTCCTTCTGGACTCCGGACATGGTGATCAGTGAGAAAGTGGGCATGAAGGAAGACGTCTCCTCAGAGTCTCCTCCAAAGGAAATTATGCCCTGAATGTGAATTCATTGCATCTAATAGGTGGCCTCTAATTGGCTACAGAGTAGGGTTGCCAGCCTCCAGGTGGGGCCTGGAGACCTCCCGCTTTTACGGCTGATGCCCAGCTGACAGAGATCATTCCCCCCTGGAGAAAATGGCTGCTTTGAAGGGTGGACTCTGTGGCACTGTACCATGCTGAGCCCCCACCCTTTCCTGGCTCCACCCCCAAAGTCTCCGGGTATTTTCCAACTGAGGCCTGGCAACCCTACCACAGAGTCCCAGAATTGTTCTGCTCGTGGTTCTCTAGCCGAACGGGACCAATGGGATTGGTTGTACGGTCAGTGTATTTGGTTACCCTGACTGGTATGTATATATGGAAGTAGCAAAAGGTCTTGGTACAGCTGTGGAGAGAGATACTCTGCTGTGTTTCCCTAGGATGGGTGGCTGCACAGCCTATAGAGAGCCAGTTTGGTGTAGTGGTTAAGTGCACGGAAAATAATCTGGGAGAACCGGGTTTGATTCCCCACTCCTCCACTTGCACCTGCTGAGGTGACCTTGGGTCCGTCACAAGCTCTGGTACAGCTGTCCTTGTAAAAGAGCAGTTTGTGTCAGAGTTCTCTCAGCCCCACCCACCTCACAGGGTGTCTGTTGTGGGGAGGGGAAGGGAAAGGAGTTTGTAAGCTGCTCTGAGACTCCAAGTGAAGGGCGGGGTATAAATCCAATCTCTTCTCTTCTTCTCTTTTTCTTCTTCTTCTATAGAGATGATGCCTCTGCTGGTTCCAGGAGAAAAGGCTTGGCTGCTGGCTAGTAACAGACCAATTTGCTACTAGTTTACTTGTAGGTTGGGGAGTGTGTAGCCAGTTGGCAAGCTCAGGAGAGGGCTTGAGGGTCAGGGGTAGAGCATCTGCTTTGTAGCGAGAAGGTCCCAGGTTCAATCCCTGGCATCTCCACATAAAGTAATCAGGTACTAAGGTAAAGGTAAAGGTTTCCCTTGCTCAAAAGCCAGTCGAATCCAACTCTAGGGGGCGGTACTAATCTCTGTTTCCAAGCCGAAGAGCCAGCGCTGTCCAAAGACGTTTCCGTGGTCATGTGGCCGGCATGACTAAACGCCGAGGCGCACGGAACTCTGTTACCTTCCCACCAAAGCAGTACCTATTTATCTACTTGCAATTTCTTGCTTTTGAACTGCTAGGTTGGCAGGAGCTGGTGCCACGTGACGCTAGGGTCTCCAACTGCTGAACTACAGACTTTCCGCTCTGCAGCTCAGTGTCTTAACCTCTGATCCACTGCGGCCCCTAAAAATCAGGTACTAGGGTTATGTAAAAGACACTCCTACCTGAGAACCTGGGAAGCTACTTACAGTTGGAGTACACAATGCTGAGGAGCTGCGTGGCTCAAGTGGTTAAGACGCTGAACTGCAAGCTGTGGAAGGTCAGTAGTTCAGCAGTTCGAGACCCGGGTGCCGCATGACGGAGTGAGCTCCCATCTCTAGTTCCTGCTCCTGCCAACCTAGCAGTTCGAAAGCATGAAATTGCAAGTAGATAAATAGGTACCACTTTGGTGGGAAGGTAACAGCGTTCTGTGCACCTTGGTGTTTAGTTTTTTTTTTTTTTTTAAAAATATTTTATTAGTCATGCCGGCCACATGACCACGGAAACGTCTTCGGACAGCGCTGGCTCTTTGGCTTTGAAACAGAGATGAGCACCGCAACCCTAGAGTTGGATTCGACTGGCTTTCGAGCAAGGGAACCTTTACCTTTACTTTACACAATGCTGACTTTGATAGATTGTCCATCTGAATTAATATAAAGTAGCTCCACGTGTTCTAGTTTACAGAATCACCTTGTTTTAATGGAGAGAGTGCTTTCTCCAAAGCTAACAGCTTGTAGATAGCATGGGTTCCCCTGCCCTCTTCCCTTGCCGTACTTCTCCCCTTCAGGGCTTGTAGAAATTTGTCACTGGCTTTAAACTGGACGCTGTAGTGACAACTCCTGTATTTCAGTCTCCTCTCCTGAGCTGGAAGTCGTATTCTCTTCTCTGTGAACAGACGGTGATCTCCAATGAAGCAATCCGGTGGTCCATCTAATCCACTATCCTGTTTCATGCAGCAGTCAGCCGGTTGCCCCGGAGAGCCAGCAAATAGACAATAGACTTTCCCTGCACCTTCACTTCAATTTGTTTTCCTCCTCCTTCAGCAAGAGCGAGTGGAGCCCCACCAGTTGGCCGTGGACCGCCCCTCAGAGAAACTCCTGTGCTTCCTCCGGAAACACTACAGTCTCTGTGACACTATCCCCCAGGTGAGTCTTTCCCGCCATGAGGGGGTGGGCCCTCCTGTGCTGCTTCAGTTTGCTACCTATTTGCAGCTTGCCAAAGACAATCCCACAATGGCTCTACCTCTGGGCAGCTCATGAGATACCCTGTGCCTTGGAGGGTGAGTCTTCTTCGCTCTACTGCTATGGAGGAGGTGGAAATAGCTCTTCTAGGGGCTTTAATGGGTGTCGTGCAGGCAACACAGGATCAAGTAGCAGTGCCTCCTGAAGGAGATTTTAAAATACATAAATAAATAAATCTAAAATAAATAAATCATGAGCTCTCCTGTCCAAAGAAGCTTAAATTTAGTTCCCATCCAGACAGTTCACAGGGCCAGATCTTGCTAAATTTCAGTAGCAGAGCTGTGTCTCATGCCTTCAGAATATTTGCTTGGCGACTGCCTCTGCCCAGGTTCTGGGGGGTGTTGACACACCGGGTTGCATCCAGACTAAATTTTCTGCTAATGAAAGGGCTGAAGTAACTTCCACTAATTCCCTCCTCTTGTGGCAGACTCCCCAATTTGCCTCTCGTGCTGTTCCCGGGGGTCCCCTGTCCCCTCAGGAGCAGCCTTTTGGGGGACCAGTGGGCTGCAGTGGAGGGGTGGAGGCAGGAACTTTCTGTTCCACTGACAAGACGCGCCTTGCATGAGTGGAAAATCAGTCTGGATCCAACCCATTGTGGTGGAATTGCCCAGGCTTCGACCACATGAATCGGCCCAAGTCTTTTCTGGTATACGTGCACATGAACAAATATTTCATGGGTTTGGCAATCACAGTTGTGGTTGGAGGGAATTCGTGGTAGGAAGTCAAAGTATCATAAGAACATAAGAGACGCCAATGTTGGATCAGGCCAAAGGCCCATCCAGTCCAACACTCTGTGTCACACAGTGGCCAGAAATACCAGTGCCATCAGGAGGTCCAGCAGTGGGGCCAGGACATTAGAAGCCCTCCCACTGTTGACCCCCCCAAGCACCAAGATGACAGAGCATCACTTGCCCCAGAGTCCCTATCTATACCTTGTGGCTAATAGCCACTGATGGACCTCTGCTCCATATGCTTATCTAATTCCCTTTTGAAGCCGTCCATGCTTGTAGCCGCCACCACTTCCTGTGGCAGTGAATTCCAAGTGTTAATGTGGCAGTGAATTCCAAGTGTTCATGGGGGAACATGTGGAAGGTTGCAGAGTTCCTTATAACTTCTTGCAGATCCTCTCTAGCTTTTTCTCCTGGAGAAGAGCTTGTGCTCAGAATGTGTTGGGACCTCTAGGCTCCTTTAAGAAATTAAAGGAAATGTCTGTAAGGTTCCATTTCATTGATACCTGACTTTTTTGTTGTTGACATGTATATGCAGTTTACTAGATTATCCTTGGTGATGCCCTTCACCTAATGCTGACTTTCTGGGAATATTTTCGATCCGTTACATCCATTGATACATTTGGGAAATGGATTCTGGAGATTATCAAGTTGTGATGTACCTTATGAGAGAACAAGTTGTGATATACCTCATGATCCAAAAGAAGAACTGTCGGGCTATTTGAAGGACATTTGGGGGGGAAGGTTAGCTGGAGTTAGTGATCTGCAGACATAAGCTAAAATAGGTATCGCTTGCTTTTTGGAAATCTCCAGGACTAGTATCCTGTACCTTTGTGAACTAAGCTGACTTTACAACTGACTAAAAGAAAAAAAAAACACAACCAGAAGAAATGCTGTTTGGAAAGGGATTTAATTTGTTGTACATGGGAGTGCTCCTTTTCTAGATAATGTTGGACCATAGTTGCCATTTTCTCTTTAACACGTTGAAACCTCTACTGGAATCTGATCATTCATTGTTATGTGCTTGGTCACACTATTCATATGCTATGCTTCTCTGAGTGAATGCATGATGTAGAGGTCAGTATTACTTGGTGGAAAGAGGTTAAAAAAAACCTCCCTGTGTGAGCCAGTTCATATATCAAACAAACAAACAAATACTGTGATAAAAATGACAATGACATTTAATAAATCTTATGAACATCAAATATATTACAACTGAAGCTTTTACATTATTACTAAGGAAATTCTAACATTTTCAAGGAAAAGTCCAGCATCCTCAATGAGGACCCGGTTATAAACTCATTTCACCAATCTTCCTCAGGAGTAATCCTATTATGTTGGAAGGTGTCAGCTTCTTGTTACAGCTTAATTTCTTTTTTTACTTTCTTCAAATTATCTCCTGGTTCCATTTTCAAATTATTACAGCTTAACTCCTTTTTTACTTTTTTCAAATTATCCTGGAACAAACGTGCTTATTTAGAATGAAAAGAAATATGAAGCTGAATGGAATATTCTTTTGTTATCATTTTTAAATTTTTGAAATTATTAATAATTTTTAACTCATAACTTACTCCATTTCAAGTTTTTCAATCAGGAGCAAGCCAGTTAATTTATTTCTAGTAGTAGCAACCAGTCCTCTTTTCTCTCCGGTCAGAAGCCTTCTTTTTTTTAAACTGGCTGGCAATTGTTCTCTATCTCAAGTTGCTGGCTCAATTGCTCTCTAGTTGTTTATAGTAGTAGCACATCAGTCCTCTTTTCTCCTGGCCAGAAGCCTTTTTTTTAAATAGGCTGACAAATGCTCTCCACCACTCAAGTTGGAACTCAAGTTCTCTAAAAACTATTCCACGGTAGAAAAGAGGACTCGTTCCCAAGTCGGTAAACCATAATACATGTCAAGCATTAAAACATTTCTAACATTAAAACAATGTTTAAAATAACAAGTATATAGAAAATATTTCAAACAATTAAAGAAAGGACACAGAAACACATCAGCACACAAGCGGGCAGGAGAGCTAATAAGAATTAATGAGGGAGTGCTAAACAAAATAGTCTTCTTCCACCTGCTGGGGGAAGATAATGACAGAGAGAGAGATGGATGAATCTCCCTGGGGAGAGAGTTCCAAAGTTTCAAAGCCACGATTGAGAAGGCCCTTTCTTGGGTTGCTACCTGTCTAGCCTCAGATGGTGGAGACACCTGAAGGAAGGCCTTCAGAGATGACCAGAGCGTACAGGTTGGTTCATGGGGGCAGGGCCGGCTCGCTCACTAGGCGAACTAGGCGTTTGCCTAGAGCGCGCCAGCCCTTAGGGGCACCAAACTGCCCCCCCCGCCAAAAGCCCTGCATTTCCGCAGCCAGGTGACCCCCGCCGCCACCTCTGCCACCCACTGCCTCTTCGGCCGACTAACTTCTCCCTGCCTGCCCCCTTGGCTTCCCAGCAGAGCGCTTCTCCTCCTCCTCCTCTTCCTCGCGGCTGGGGACTAGCAGCTGCAGCAAGAGCAGCAACAGCAGGGCCGGGGGAGCAACGCGTTGTGAGCGCCCCGCCGGTCAGCCTCTTCTCTGGGCACCCTGACGAGGGGTGACAAACTGTACCCCCCCCATGCCAGAAGCCCCCCCCCCACTGGCTCTGACCAGGTGGGCACATGGGTGGGGGCACCAGAAGGGATCCTCACCTAGGGTGCAAAATAAGTTGAGGCCGGCCCTGCATGGGGGGGGGGGATGTGATCCTTAAGGTACGCTGGCCCCAAGACATATAAGACTTTAAAGGTCCATACCAGCTCCTTGAATTGGGCGTGGAAGCAAATTGGGAGCCTGTGTAGATGGAACAAGTTCAGGGCAGCCATGGCTGTTTCAGTCTCATAACCAGGCCAGAAAACAGATGAACATAGATTTCCCAGATTCTAGTCTGAGGACTGTAACTATTTCACGACACAAGGCATTGCTCTGCCGCTAGAGCTTCTTTGAGTGGAAGTGCCAGGCATTGGAATCTTGTGCCTGCCGAGCATGGCCTCTGCCAGTGAGCTGCGGTTCCTCCCCTTAAAAGGTGTGTTCCTTTTCCTCCCAGTCGAAGGGGCTTAAGCAAATCAGCAGATGAGCTGCGAAATAAGCAGTGTGGTATTTCCTCTACTATTAGGGGTTCTAGTGGACCAGTTTCCGTTGCACAGCAACCGTGATTGGGTTTGAGAACGGTGCTATTTTTGTCCCTCGCAGGAAGTTAGGAACAGGTTTTTTTCTCTTTCAGGTGAACAACTTTGTGATTTTCCAGGGCTTCTTCAGCCACCGGCATGGTGAGTCTGTGACATGAGACTTCTTGTGTGTTTACATTTGCATGAAGTGCGATTCTGTGTGGCCCAGAGAGATCTTAAGTCCTCTGGTGGGATAGGCTAGATGTGATCTTTTCAGCAGGCTAGTCTGTTTGTCCATAGGTACGTGCAGGGGTCTTTTTGTAGAAAAAGAGCTGCAGGAGCTCATTAGCATACGGTATGCTAATGAGCTACTAGGCTATTAGCATAATAGCTCATTAGCATATGCAATGCCCCCTGACATCACTGGAAGTGATGTCAGAAGGGGAAGCAAAAGGGAGGGAAGGCATCTTCAAAAGCCTCCCCTTTCCTTTGGGGGGGGGGAAGCAAAGAGAGAAGGGGTTTAAAATTTAAACCCCTTCTCACTAGAGTTGGGCCACAGAAGGAGTAAAGAAGGAAGGAAAGAGAGCGAGAGAGTAGAGAGAAGTAACGAAGGAAGGAAAGAG